ATGAAACGGTAGTACACATGTTGTTTTATGACATTGGTTAACAACCCCACAACATATTAACCCTCTTAATTAATTAATTAATTATTAATTCTCAACCTTTTTTTTTTTTTGGTGAAAATACACATAGCCAAAGATACACCATTTCAAAAATTCCTACATACACATAGAACATGTCCCTTTTAAAGAGAGCTTAGAAGTTCTGACTTTTATATGAAATCTCCTGATTTTAAACTGCTGATAACTAACCCCCCAAAATTGAGAAAGCCTTGCAAGCCAAAGAACACACACATCTGCATTCTGTTTTGGCCAGAGGGTCCTCATTTTCAGCCTCCCCACTCTGCAGTGGGGTGGATGGGAGCCTGAGGAATGAGATGTGGGGTGGGGAAGGGGGTGGTGGCTGGAGATGACTTCAGAGAGGTGAGGATGTTAGAACTGGGGTCTTGAAGGATGAGTAAGTGTCCCAAGGGGTAGGGGGGAGGCATTCCAGGCAATGGGAACTTCATTAGCAAAGTCCTTGGGGCGTGACCAGGATTGGTGTCTGGCTGGGCGATGCTGGAGTTTAAGGAGATGGCTGTTGAGGCCCAGGGATGGGGGAGCTTGGGTGGTCGAGGGCATTGGGGCCTCAGTCCCCAGCTGTCCTTGGGGCCTTGGTGGCTCCAGGGGGATTAGAAGCCCCCTAGTTCTCTGCCCCTGTGCATGAAGTTGGGGAGGGGGGTCTGGTTGCAGTGGGGCAGTGCTGGGGGCCCCTTGCCAGCAAGCTGGGTAGTCAGCGTTTTGTTTACAAAGCAACTGCTCCCCCTCCTCCTGTCTCTAAGGGTCGCCCTCTGGGGACAGGGACTACTTGGCTCACTCTGCTTTCTCCCTTTACTCCCTGTCTGGCCTGGGTTTTTGTTTTAATAATTTATTTTATTTTGTTGAGAATATGCACAGCAAAAAATACACCATTTCAAGGTTCTACATGTACAATTCAGTGACATTGATTACATTCTTTGAGTTGTACAACTATTCTTACCCTCCATTTCTGAGTTGTTCCTCCTCCATTAAGATAAACTCACTGCCCCCTAAGGATTCCGTTGCTGTTGTTAATTTGATCCCATATATATAGATATTAAAAGTGCATACAGCTCAAAGCAGACATTATTCACTAGTTAAGCTAAATTATTGTTTGATTTTAAGAAGACTTCAGGGGATATTAGGAGCCCTGGTGGCACAGTTGTTAAAGCACTCAGCTGCGAACCAAAAGGTTGGCAGTCTGCTTCTGTAAAGATTTACAGCCTTGTAAACCCTATGGATCAGTTCTAGGGTTGGTATGAGTCAGAATCGTCTGGACAGCAGTGAGTGGTTTTGGCAGGGAATATTTTTGGTTTAAGGTTTAAGATTATCTTAGGGCAGTAGTTTCGGGGGTTCATCCAGCCTCCATGGCTCCAGAAAGTCTGGATTCCATGAGATTTTGAAACTCTGTTTTTTCCTCCTTTTGATCAGGATTTTTTTTTAATAGAATTTTTGATCAAAATGTTCAGTAATGGTAACTGGCCTGGATTTTGCCATGGCCTTCTCACTAGCCTTCTGGCCTCTAACGTCCGACTCTGCCCATTCATCCTGCTCCACGGAAAGACCACAGCTTCAGGAGATGAGAATTCTTTTCAGGTGCATCATGAGAGGAGTATGTGTGGGTAGGTAGCATTGCAGCCCAGCCCCACCATGAAAAGAGCAGGTGTGCATCCCTCTCAATCCTTGCTGTCCATCTGTAAGATGGGCGCACTTTCCTTTAGGGCTGTTGAGAGAGAGAGGAACTCAAAAGTGCTTAGTAAGCTAAGCTGTGATCACAAAAAACTGTTGTATGTTAAATAAGCAACAGTAGTGCGTGATGGAGTCCCTGAGTGGCTCAAATGGTTAAGCACTCAGCTGTTAATGGAAAGGTTGGCGGTTCAGATTTACCCAGAGGTGCCTTGGAAGAAAAGCCTGGTGATCTACTTCTGAAAACTCAGCCACTGAAAACCCTTTGGAGCACAGTTCTACTCTGACACACTTGGGATCCCCATGAGTCAGAATCAATTCAATGGCAGCTGGTTAGTGCATGATAATAGCAACTGACACTCATTCAGCACCCACTGTGTGCTCTGCATGGTTCTGTATCAACTCATTTAATTTTCACAACTTTGCAAAGTATGTAAGATTTTCCCATGTTACAGACTGGGGAGTTGGGGCACAGAGAAGTTAAATAACTTGCCCAAGATTATGCAACTGCTAAGTGGTAGAACTTGGGTTTGAGCTAAGGTTGTCTGGCTGCAGTATGCATGGTAACCACTAGGCTTTCAGTCCATAGATGAGCTTGGTGGAAGTGTAAGGGTCAGGGCCTGAACTCCTTGAAGTTGTTATTAAATTTCCCAGCATATGTGCGTATTTTCTTGAGGAAAAATACTGCCAGATTCCCACAGGGGTCCATGACCCCCAGATGCCAGAGACTGTCTGCCAGTTGCATCATTAACACGCTGAAAAGCTGTTAATGCCGTTGAAACCACAGCACTCAGGCCTGCAGGGAAGTTACTGGCTGCTGCTATCCTGGGCTCATCTCTTCCTCTCCATGGGGTTGGGTGGCTGGAGTGGGCCTCCCTACTTCCGTATCCACAGTGCTCCTGTCCTGGCTCCAGACCAAGGGTTGGCACTTGAGCGTGGCTGCAGGGCAGAGGGCTGCCCTTATCAGTGGAAAAAGGGACATCGATTCACCCTGGGCATAAACAGGACCAGTCACCCAGCCTTCCTGGCTCTGGCCAGGAAGCTTGCTTCTTCTTGCCCTGCACTCAGCTAGAGTTGCAGGGAGTACGCACAAAGCTCAGTACACTGCCTTATCTCTAAGCTGTGGCAGATGCTGTTTCCTCCTCCTACCCCTGGCCAACCCTCCCTGTTCTTCTGGTCAGCTGAGGTACCACCTCCTCCAGGAAGTCTTCCCCAAGCCCTCCACTCCCACCCAAGGGGTTCAGTGGTCCTCAGTCCTTCCAAACACCCTTCCCTTCCCCCACTGTTGCCCTTGTCACCGTGCATTGTAGGTGCCTGTTTTCTTGGCTGCCTCTGGTTCACTGTGGTGCTGGCACAGAGTAGGAACTGGATTGTAGAATATCCGTGGTGGATCAGTCCCAGAGAGCATCTGGCCCAAGCCCTTTTTAACAGGCAGGAGGCCCAGAGAGGGACAAGGTGTGCTCGGGGCCACATAGCACATCCCTGCAGAGCTAGGACTAGGACCCTGTGTCCCAGCTCCCAAGTCAGACCTCTCCTCATGGCATGCTCCTGCCTCTCACTTCTGAGTGCGTCTTTATAAAGCCTTCCTTTTCTTATTCTCACAAAAATAATAAATGGTTAATGTAGAAAATGTGGGGAACGTAGATAAACAAGGAAAATCACTCAGAGGTAATCACTGTTAACAATTCTTGGAGTTTTGCACCTAGTTCTGGCCAATGAATAAAAAATTTTTAACAAAAAATTGGCTCACACATACTGCTTTATAAACACTTTCAAGTTTAACAATACATATGTCATTATATTTCTATGTCAGTAAATGTGCTTCTTCAACATGATGTAAATGACTGCCTAGGATTCCATCGTTACTACATTCTCATTTCTAAAGAAAATCCCCTGTTGTTGGACATTTGCTGTTATAAACAGCACTGGGATCTGTATTCTTGTGGGGAAATCTTTACCCACTTCTGTAGTTACTACCTCTAGGATACATTCCTAGAAGGGCGATTGTTGGGGCTCCGGACTGCTGCATCTATACTGAGCATGCTGTGCAGTCTTGAGGCTGGGTGGGATTTCACAGGTCGTCACCCCTGAGTCACCCCTCCCTGGCTTCCCCAGCCCAGGCCCTCATGCCGTCCATCATGGGCGCTCTCCTAGCTTTCAGCAGGTGGGATGGATAGAAAGTTGCTTCTTGGATTGCTTGAAAATCTCTCACTCTCTGTGGCTTCAACTCCTCTTGAAGGGAGATCGGAGGGCCATGGGTGTGTGGAGCTGTTTGGAGTGAGAAAATTGGGGCCTTTGTGTAGTGTGTGTGGTGCATGGGTCTTCTTTAACTCTCTCTAGTGAGATGGGTGAGGGTGGCCTGCCCTCAGGAATCCGGAGTTCTGGCCTCCTGGGTGGGCCGAGGGTCCCAGCAAGTGAGATGCCTCCCCATTGCTCCCTCGGGTTTGATCACCCGCTGCACTGGGTTGGTGGGTGCACCCATGAGCACGTGCCCCAAAGATGAAGGATGCCTGGTTGCGTTAGGGGCAAATAGTGACAGCTGCCATTTCTTAAGTGTTTCTTGTGCCAAGCTCTTCAGACACATTTATTCAGTTAACCCTTGGCCACAGCCCTATGCTGCAGGGGTGATGTTACAGATGAGGTCACTGATGCTTGAGAGGTGCAGTGATTTGTCCACGGCCTTCCCGCACAGCCAAGGCGCTGATGCTGCGCACTCCTGGGTTTGAATCCCACCTCAGCTGCTTCTACTGAGCCTCTGCCTTTCCGTCTGTTTGATGGGGCTCCTGGGCCCATTCAGAGGGATAGATGGATGGGAAAGCAATGTAGGCAAGTGAGGATGTGGTGTTTGGTCATGATAGAATTTTATGTCCAGCTCCTGGGCTTGTAAATGTTTATTTTCTTACTTTGTCCTTCTTGCTTCTGGATTTTTCTTGGCTTAATCATGGTCTCTGGTAATGATAATAATAATAAATAGCAACTACCATTTAGAGATACCATATGCTAGTTACTGCTGTTAGTGATTTATATATATTATTGAACTTAATCCCTCAACCCCTTGTGAGGTGAGTACTCTTTATCAGCCCCATTTCACAGATGGGGAAACTGAGGCTTGGAGAGATTAAGGAGCTTGCCCCACATCATGCTGCCAGCAGGTTGGGCAGTAGTACTTGAACTCGGGCCTGCTAAGGTCAGGTCCTGCGCATCCTCAGTCAGTTGACCCGAGTCCCCATCTGCCTCCTTTGACTTTCCTGTTCTCCCCACAGCCTCAGCCCCGTGGGCCCCACTGAATGAGCGGCATGTGGCACCCCTGGGCCAGTCCAGTGTCCTTCGACCTGCTGTCCAGCCCTCCCAGGAGGCCCTGACGCCCTGGGTCACTTCCACTCTGCGAAGGACCACGTGGGGGTTTGCCATGGTGACATAAAGGGGCACAAAGGAAGGAAGGAGCGCAACCAACCTGTGGACTGCGCCCCTGGCTTGGGGGAAGGTCCGGGGACCTGATCCTCCACACCCTGCCCGCTGAGGGCCTCGCTTCCTAAGTCTCTGTGAATTTGTTGGTCGCTGGACTCTCGTGTCTCCTTCTGCGTGTGGCCTTGGGGTGGCCAGGGCAGGCCAGGCCTCCAGCAGCCGAGGTCGCAGGGCCAGGATGCCCACCCTGGCTCGCCTCCGGAGGCTGTGTCGGCACGTGTCCCCCCAGGCCGTACTTTTCCTGCTGTTCATCTTCTGTCTGTTCAGCGTTTTTGTCTCAGCCTACTACCTATATGGCTGGAAGCGGGGCCTGGAGCCCTCGGCCGACGCCCCCGAGCCCGACTGTGGGGACCCGCCACCCGTGGCACCCAGCCGCCTGCTGCCGCTCAAGCCTGTGCAGGCGGCTGCCCCTTCCCGCACGGATCCATTGGTGCTGGTGTTTGTGGAGAGCCTCTACTCTCAGCTGGGCCAGGAGGTGGTGGCCATCCTGGAGTCCAGCCGCTTCAAGTACCGCACAGAGATCGCACCAGGCAAGGGTGATATGCCCACGCTCACCGACAAGGGCCGTGGTCGCTTCGCCCTCATCATCTACGAGAACATCCTCAAGTACGTCAACCTGGACGCCTGGAACCGGGAGCTGCTCGACAAGTACTGTGTGGCTTACGGCGTGGGCATCATCGGCTTCTTCAAGGTACGCAGGGAGTGGGGCCTCTCAGCAGTTGAAATTGCATCTTCACAGTTGCTAGCTGGGTACCTAAGTTTGTTCATCTGTAAAATGGGTGTAATGATAGTGCCTGCCCTACAGGTTACATGGGTCAGTATATATAAAGCACCGGGAGCACACAGTGCCAGTGCCTAGTAAGCGCTTTATAAGTACCGGTTTCTATTAGGGGCACATGGCAGCGGCATTGCCTGCTGTGCATAGGGTCCAGCACACACAGGCAGTTGTGTAAAGCAGGCCCGCGGGATGGTTCGAGGTAGGAGAGGACATGCATTACTAGGTGCCTCTAAACCTATCATGGCAATCTTCCAAGGGAGGGAATGTGTCCCCGTTTTGCAAGGAAACAAACCAAGGCTCGAGGGGTTTGTACAGCCTGTAAGTGAGGGAGTGAGATTTGAACCCAGGTTGGGTTCTGTATCCCATGCTTCTTAGCTGTGGTGGGGTGTGGAGTTTATGTACCTCCCAAACCAGAGCCATTTGCACTGGGAGAAAGAGGAGAAAGAAATTCCAGTCTGGCACGTGGGGAGCTGCCCTGGGCTCTGTGGGGCACCAAGAACAGCCGCTGGGAGTGGGGTCCCTGCCGAAAGGCTGCTGTGGAGAATCTGTCCTTGGGCAGGGAGGCTTGGGTCAGAGAACGCTGATCTGCCAGTCAAAAGCAAGTGCTGGTTGGAACTCGAAGGGTGCTTTGGGGAGCATCTGTTCCTTCCTTCCTTCAACAAATATTTCTTTTTTTTTTTTTAATTGTGCTTTAGGTGAAAGTTTACAGTGCAGATTAGTTTCTTATTAAAAAATTTATACATAAATTGTTTTGTGACATTGTTTGCAATCCCCACAATGTGTCAGCACTCTTTCCCTTTCCACCCCGGGTTCCCCATGTCCATTCTTCTAGTTTTCCTGTCCCTTCCTGCCTTCTTGTCTGCTTTTGGGCAGGTGTTGCCCGTTTGGACTCATACGCTTGATTGAACTAAGAAGCGCGTTCCTCACATGTTACTGTTTGTTTTATAGGCCTATCTAATCTTTGGCTGAAAGGTGGATTTTGGGAGTGGCTTTAGTTTTGAGTTAGTAGGATGTCTGGTGGCCATAGTCTTGGGGGTTCCTCCAGTATCTGTCAGACCAGTAAGTCTGGTCATTTATTGTGAATTTGAATTTTGTTCTACATTTTTCTCCCACTCTGTCTGGGACCCTCTATTTTGATCCCTGTCAGAGTCGGTGGTGGTAGCCGGCTACTTCTGGGCTCAGGCTAGTGGAGGATGTGGCTCCTGTGGTCCATCAGTCCTTTGGACTAATATTTTCCTTATGTCTTTGGTTTTTTAAATGAATATTTCCTAAGTGCTTATTATATTTCAGGTCCTGTGCTAGGCACTGGGGATCACAGTGGTGGTCGAGGTGGACAAAGTCCCTCCTCTCATGGAGGTGACGTTTTAGTGAGGTGGGCCAGACAGTGAACAAATAAACATATGATGTGGAAGGTGGTGATAAGTGTGCAAAATGAAAGCAGGAAAGGGCATAGAGTGTAGTGGGTGTGGGGGTTGGCTCTGTTTTGTCCTCTTTGATAAAGTGACTCAAGGGGAGTGAGGGAATGAGCCACGAAGCCCTGTGGGTGAAGACCCTTTCAGGCAGAAGGCACAGTGAGTACCCAGGCCCTGGAGCAGGCTCCGCTTGGTGTGAGCTGAGGGAAGAGTAGTAGGAGGTGGGTCAGAGTGGCTGATGTCCACCTGTTGTTAGGTGCCCTGAATCAGTTCTCATGTGACAGAGTAGAACTGCCCCGCAGGGTTTTCTTATCTGTAATCTTTCCAGATCTCCAGGTCTTCATCCTGCGGAGCCACTGGGTGGGTTTGAATTGCCATCCTTTTCAGTTAGCAGCCCAGCACTTATCTGTTGAACCACCAGGGCTCCTTGACGTCCACCTAGGGGTGTCCATCTGTTCCCCAGCCTTTCTGGACCCACCTGTGCGCTTGCCCGTGCTCGATGCTGCGGAGGCTGGTCTTGTTGAGGGTGTGTTTTTTCACCCACTCAGTCAGCAGGATGCTCTGCAACGAAGAGAGATTCTGCGGGCCAGAAGCCGGAGACCCTGAGGGGTCCTGCAATACAGTCCCTGGGAGGTTTGTTCCTCCCCTGGCTGACTCACAGAGCACCCTTAACTTCACAGCACACACTTGGGGAAGCGCTGGCCTTGTTTATGCCTCTACATGAGCATACGGCTGTTGTCTCTGTTGCCTGTTTTTCCTTTTCTTCTGGACTCTGTACCCTTTCCTGCCACGAGCTCCAGTCTGTTTACTCCAGAGCTCCAGGCCAGAGAAACGTCAGGACAGCTGACATTTACTGAGTGCTAGCTCAGCGCCATGCCCTGCCCTCCATGTGTTATGCGAATTAACACTCATAACCATCCTGCAGAGGCAGGTGGGTGTTAATCTGATTGAAGAGAGAAGGAGATGGAGGCAAAGAGAGGCTAAGAAATGTGCCACATTTCTAATAAGTCACATGTCTAGTAAGTGTAGATCCAGGATTTGAACCCAGGCAGTCTCACTCTGGAGACCTTCGTCTTAACCACTCTGCCATGAGTCCAGGAGCCTCAAATACCTTTGACTCAGTAGTCATTGCATCAGAAGCCACATCCAGTGCACAGAATTCCCACACAGTCTCTGGGGCCCAGACAGTGGGCTGGGCTCACTGGGCATGATTGGTATGACTGCGCTTGGACCCCATCTAGCCCCAATTATTTGTCTACAGAAGGTGCACTCAAAGTCTCAATGTGGGGTCGGTGGCAATTTCAAGTCTTCCTACTCTTCCTACCTTTGCATAAGACAAGATCCCTCCTTGGTTTTGAGCCTGTGATTTTTCTGCTCAAACGCCCGCCCCCTGGTGGTCATACTGCACCTTTCGGCTCTCTGCAAGGCCACTTTCGGTGCTCTGGTGAGTCTCATCTTCCAGTTCCCCCAGGTAGTTGGATTCTCAGGGCAGTGTGAGAGCAAGGGCTTAAAAGTCCAGACCCTGGTTCAAATTCTTCCGTCTCTCATAAGTAGTGTGACCTTGGGCAGGGCACTCAGCCATGTTTGTGAAGTGGGCCAATCTCAGCACTTGCCTTGTTGGGCCGTGTTGAAAATAAAACAACAGATGAAAGGCACCAAACAGTGCCTGGTACCCAGACGCACTCATTAAAGGCAGCTATAGTGTTTTGTCATATTCAAGTTCAGCAAATGCAGTCAGTGGTAGTGCTTTGTCTTGTGGCTCTGACCAACTTGTGCCCTGTGAGGTCCTTGGGGGTGGGGAGCAGGTCTTACTCACCTGTAGCTCCGGTTCCTGACGAAGTACCTGGCTCAGAACTGGTGGTAATGGTTGCTGATTGGATGGGGTAGAGCGTTTACCGCCATGGTGTCCCCAGAGTGACTCCTCAGGACTGAGGAACAGGAGGGATATCCACTCCTGTGGGGTGAGGCCAGGTCCTTGGTGGTGCAAATGATTTGCTCTGGGCTACTACCTTAAAAGTTTGCAGTTCGAACCCACCCAGCAGTGCTGCAGAAGAAAGGCCTGGTGATCTGAAGATCCTATGGAGCAGTTCTACTCTTTAACACATGGAGTCACCATGAGTTGGAATTGATTTGACTGCAGTGAGTTGTTTTTTGTTTTTTTTTTTAAATGGGATGAGGCCTGCAGTGGATTCAGCCTCTGCAAAGCTGAGGCTCATTGTCCATTTCCTCCCCCTACCGGCTCCTTTCATTGCTGGCTGGGGTAGATGATCAGTAACTTGGCTTTCTCCTTTCTTTGATGGCTCCCAGCTGGACAGCTGGTTGAGCTGCCAGCACCTGGTGGTCAGCTCAGGGTCGGGGCTTTGAAATGGGATCCCCCAGCACACATGGTCCAGTGTGGCCTCCCAGGCCACAGCAGGTGATGGGCAGGCCCTGAAATGTCACTGGCCCCAGCCACCTTTCTCCTGCAGCCCAGGCAGTCCCCATCCTTGGCCAGTGCTGGCTTAGGGGTGGTGGGCAGCCTGGGGCTAGGGGCAGGACCAGATTAATGAGGGCCCTAAGCACTGATAATATGTAGTGCCCTTTCCTCTGCTCACTCACACATGCAAACAGGATATGTGAGTTATATATATACATGTATGTGTGTGTGTGCACATATTTATATATTGCTGGTCCTCCTAGCTGGGGTTGCTGGATCAGCAGATGTGGATGTACAAGACAGTTCTCTCAAAATGAATCAGAGGCCTGTTATCTATTAATATAATCCCTCTTTGCCCAGTAGCTGCTCTTGTGGGATGCAGTTGCATATCGGGTAAATGTAGCAAGAGTTAAGACTCAACAGCCCACCCCTACCTCTTGTTTATTAGAAAGAGATAGTATATTCCCAAGAGACACACCAAGATAAGGAATTTCAATTACACAAGAGGGGACCATAGGAGACAGATGGCAATGAAAGTGTTGAAGTGGTAGGGGCCTCATAGCTTAAACAATTTTTCCTGTGGGCACCCTTGTGACCCTGTGAACTTTATTTCTGGCTGGCACATTCTCACACCCTGGAGCTGGTATCAATTCCATTTAGTGCCCTGCCAGTTCCCTTCCACTGTGGTGCTCACTTTTCCTTGTGTCCTGTCTGCTTAGCGTCTATGGGTCTTTGCTTTGGACAACTGGTGCCCCTGTTTTGTTGGTGCCCTAAACACATGCTTACCTTGCTTATTGGGTAATCCGTCCCTGGCCAGGGGATGGCCTCTTAGGATGGGGCTCTGCATTGGGCCTCAACACCCAAGGTTGGCTTGGGACAGTTAACAGGCCCTCCTGGTGTTTGGAATCAAATCCAGACTCCTAATCACAGTTTACAAGGCCAAGGCCCTGCAGAGCCTTTGTGGGAATTAGCAAAAAGCACTTCTGTGTGGAGGAGATTAGTAAAAGGCACCCTTCTGGGCAGACACAGCTCTGCATGGGGGCACTAGGCTTGGCTGAAATGTCAGCCCTCACTTGCCCCATCAGCTGGGGGCCCTTGTGCATGCCCACCTGACCAGCTCTCCATGATGGCCCTGTACAAGACCCTACCTCCCTCTCCAACCTCATTTGGTGCTCTTTGTCCACTCTTGCTTGTCCCATGCCACTCATTCTCAACATGGCAGCCAGATGGAGCTTTTAAAAATGCAGATGGGAACCGGTCACGCCACTGTTCAACCCTTTAATGGAGTCTTTGATGGCTTCCCAGTGCATGTAGAACAAAATCCAGACTCCTCCTCAGGCCTCAGGGTCCTTGCCGGTCTGGCCCCAACTGGCCTTCCTATCTTATCCCCTCCGTTTGCCTTCCTGGTTGCTTTGCACCGGCCCCACTGACCTTTTGCTGTTCCTTGACCATGATGAGCCCTTTCCCACCTCAGGGCCTTTGCACTTGCTGTTCTTTGAACTTGGCCTCCTAACCTCTCCCCTAGCTGACAGTTACTCATTCTTCAAATCTTACCTCAAAAGTTCCTTTCTTTAGGAAACCTCTGAGCCAGCAGACTGTGCCCTGGTTATCTACTCTTCTGAACCTTCTCTCCATAGCATGTGCCACATTGTAGTTTTATGTTTATTCCTGTGGTTATTTGATATCTCTCCTCCCTGCTTGACTCGAAGGTCCATGAGGCAAGGGCCACGTCTGTTCTTTTTCACTGTATCCTTGGCACTCAACACAGTGCCTGGCACAGTGGACAGTTGTGAAAAGAACAAATGAATCTTGTATTAAACACATAAATCACGTTCCAGGTACTGGGGAGCTGTCTGCTTCCTTTTCATTCTTTTCAAAAATCCAGTTATGCATCAGATATGTGTGTGCTCCCACTGGGTGTTAGGATCCAAAGGTATAAACGACATAGCTCCTGCCCTTGAGGTGGCACAGGCTGGTGGGAGAGAGACCCTGAACAGATAATGCAGCAGTTGAGAGAATTGCTGCAGCCGAGGCTCAGATGTGGTTCCAGGGAGTCCAGTGCAGACAAGAAGATACATGCGTTGGGTTTTGAAGGAGTTCGCTGGCCAACAAGACAGAATAGAGCTGCACAAGGACAAGGGTAAACCGAACGTATCCCAAGGCAGCTGGCTGGGAGGATGAGGGGGTTTGACACTGAGGTCCATGGGGAGAACGCGAAGGTGCAGCGACAGTGAACCTAGGGAAGGGAAGAAGAGGGGACTGTGGTCACTGTCTGCAGGTCCCCAGTTTGCTGGGCAGCAGGAGGCCCTGGGAGAAGAGAAGCAGATTGCTCAGCACCACAGACAGTGACAGGGGTTGGCCTCAGTGGTTTTCAAATGCTTCAGGTGGTGCTAGGGGTTTATTGGAGGTTGGGAGGGCTGTGGGGGGGTGCCTTTGCTCCCCTTCAGCAAACCCTTCCTCTTTGATCTCTTCTCAGTTTGTGTCCACGTGAGATTTCTCCTGAAGAAAGGGTCATGTGGCAAAAGTTAGTTTGGAAGCCCCAGGCAGTAGAGGTGGTGGTTAGGTACAGTGGGCTCCAGGACCAGACCAGCTGGCTATGCATTGATCCACTGAGGGCAGCACTCCTCATACAGCCTCAGTTCCCTCACTTGTGAAGTGGGGTAACCTGAGGCTGATGCGAGGACTTAATGAGTGATCGATAATACTGCGGGCTCTGTTCCCAGAATTTTGTCACATCAATGCTGATCATCCTCCCATCTCCCCTTGAGGTATTTACTCTTCTTGGCCACATTTTACAGCAGAGGAAGCTGAGGTACAGAAGAGTTATGTAGTTTGCCCAGGGCCAGGTAGTCTGGTGGCACAGCCCCTGCTCACCACTGTTAGATTTTCTCCCAGTCATCTTGGACAAGTTACCTAGCCTTTCTGTGCCTCAGTCTCCTCATCTGTAAAATGGGGATGACAGCGATGTCTCCATCGTGGGGACATTGTGAGGATTAGCAGTGTTTCTGTGTGCAGAATTCACAGAACTAGTGCCTGGTTTTAGGTAAGCGCATCGTACTTGTTACTATATCGTAAGGGGGTGGAGCCGGGTTTGCATGGCAGGTTAGCACAGGCTAGGAATATGATGAGCCCTCCAGGAATGTTAGTGAGTATTGTTGATGTTACTATTATGGGTCCACATCTGAAATCCCGGGGGCACTTGGGGCTCTAGATCTGACAGCTCTGCCCCCTGCCCCCACCCTGCTGCAGGCCAATGAGAACAGCCTGCTGAGTGCGCAGCTCAAAGGCTTCCCGCTGTTCCTGCACTCGAACCTGGGCCTGAAGGACTGTAGCATCAACCCCAAGTCCCCGCTGCTCTATGTGACGCGGCCTAGTGAGGTGGAGAAGGGTGTGCTACCTGGCGAGGACTGGACAGTGTTCCAGTCAAACCACTCCACCTATGAGCCAGTGCTGCTGGCCAAGACGCGCTCGTCCGAGTCCATCCCACACCTGGGTGCGGACGCCGGCCTGCATGCTGCACTGCATGCCACTGTGGTCCAGGACCTGGGCCTCCATGACGGCATCCAGCGTGTGCTGTTTGGCAACAACCTCAACTTTTGGCTACACAAGCTGGTCTTCGTCGACGCCGTGGCCTTCCTCACAGGCAAGCGCCTCTCGCTGCCGCTGGACCGCTACATCCTGGTGGACATTGACGACATCTTCGTGGGCAAGGAGGGCACACGCATGAAAGTGGAGGACGTGAAGGTATGGCCTGGGTGCCACACGGGTACGGCAAGGCCTCCCAGATGTGACACCTTTCATGCACCCCATCGTGACTTTTGTCCTATCTGTACCTTGCTTATGCTGTCAGTTACCTAATGAATGAGCCCCCTCCCTAGGCTAGTTTTTTGTTTTTTGTCTTGATGTAGGAGCAAATGTCATTTAAAATTACGTTGAGGTATTGAGTATAGCAGGATTTTGCATCTAGGGTATGGAGAAAGAGACCTGTCACTGAAACACACTGTTAACTCTCAAAATGCTTATGTCAATACCAGAGCTCTTATAAAACTCCTAAAACAGGAACTAGAGCTTGAAACGTACATCAGACACATTTCCAGTGAGGTATATATAGGTGACGGCAAAGGTGGTTCGTGGTAGAATTCTCACCTTCCTTGCGGGAGACCCCAGTTCAACTCCTGGCCAGGGCACCTCATTCATAGCCACCACCTGTCTGTCTGTTCAGTGGAGGCTTGCGCATTGCTATGATGCTGAACAGGTTTCAGTGGTGTTTCCAAACTAAGACAGACTAGGAAGAAAAGCCTGGTGATCTACTTCCAAAAACCAGCCAGTGAAAACCCCATAGAGCACAATGGTCCGCTCCTGTTGTGCATGGGGTCACCATGAGTCAGGGGCCAGCTTGACATATATAGATAGTGGAATGCATATGTTTAGTTCAAAAAGTGTTTACAAAAAGTTACTTTATGTAAAAGCATTTTGCAAACCCAGTATTTTACACACACGTGAACAATCACTATTAAAGAGAAAACTAAGAATTAAGATCATTAAGCAGTCTTTAAAATACAGTTTTTATCAACTCACTTATTTTTCTTAAAGTTATTTGCAGAGGAAACCACATCACAGGTGTAAATGGAAAATCAGTATCAGTTGCCATAAATAGAGGACAACCGTAACAATAAATCCAGTGGAAACAAAACAGTGGGATTAAATTCCAGAGAGGTACTGCTGCCTGCTGACTGCCTGTCCTCCTCGCTTATACGAGATTAGCAAGTGTTAGAGACACGCTAGCACCAAACCTAGACTTCTTTTTGATGTTAGTTGTTGTTGTTAGGTGCCAGCAAGTTGATTCCGACTCACAGTGACCCCACATAACAACAGAGTGAAACACTGCCCAGTCCTGCGCCATCCTCAAAATCGTTGCTGTGCTTCAGCCCATCAGTGCAGCCACTGTGTCAGTCCATCTCGTTGATGGTTTGATGTTAGTAGCAGAAGTTAAAAAGAGGCTTATAAAAGGAATACTTTTCTCCCTGGCTATTTCCGGGTTGGTGTTCCCTGGCCCACCTGAAATCATCTCGTCCTCTGGTGGGGGTTTGCCTGGGGCTGGAAGGAAGGCCCTGCTGTGGTTGGGTGCCTCCTTGGTCAGGGGTGTCCTCTGGTACATGGATCACGCTCTTTTCTCTTCCTCACCCCCAGAGGAGGAGCAGAGCAAAGGTGTTGGGGAGCAGGCGCTGTATGGGGAGTCAAGACCTGGCTTCCAGTGCCAATTTGACCCTAGTTGACTGGGAACTTTTAGGCAAGTCCCTTCCCAGCTCGGAGCTTCAGCTGTCAAATGACAAGATGGGGTGGATGGGAGGCTCTCAGGCTATTTCCTGGAGCCCCGGGGGTTCCCAGAAGTGCCTGGATGGCTGGGATGGGGGTGAGGAGGGACGTGCAGCTGGGCTAGGCTCAGAGCACTCCCTGCTCCCCACCTCGTCCAGCAGGGCGGTGTTGCTTTGATCTGTTTGGTACATGGTATTTCCTTTTGAGATTTCATTTGAAGAAAGGGCCCTCCTGCAAATGTTTTAAGATGATTCCTGTTGAGCCTTCCAGCTATAAGACTTCATGCGATGCCACCATCTGTATTGAGGAGATTGCTGTTTTCTACTTAGCACCTTTTTCCAGTGGCCCAGCCTTGTTCTCTCCTGCTGGGACACAGGTCCTTGACCACCACTCTGCAGTCAAGGATTGACCACGAGGAAATCGGGCTGTCAGCCTCACTGTGTGCCCCAGGAGCCCTGGGGTTGCCCTTCTTGGTTTCTCACTTTCTGTATTTTTAAAGTAAGTGGAGTAAGTAATAGCAGTCTGGAGCTATTTCTATAAGCAAATACTAATAGAGGTGCCCCCTTCCTGTGCTCAGCACAGTGCAGACTATACTGGACTTCAACAGCCCTGGTCTCATTTGCCTTCCACATCCTTGTGAGTCAGAAAGGACAGTGTCTTTTCCTTTTAATCCCAAGCACAGGCTACAACTGAGCCTTTCTTTTAGAGACATGAACGTCACCTCATTAACTTGTGCAGGACTGGCTGTACAACACGGTTTAAATAATGCCAACAGCGGCTGCTTCTTCAGGGCTCGGGGAGTGCCAGGCTCTGTGCTCAGCCCTTCCCCTGCGTTACCGCAGCTGATCCTCACAGCAGCCCTGGAGGTGGGGATTAGCATCATCCCCATTTCACAGAGGAAGTCACTGAGGCTCAGAGAGGTGAAGTAACCTGCCTGAGGCCACACAGCTGAAGCATGCCCATCTACCAGGCAATACACAGCCTCGGTAGGATGCCGGTGGTGACAGCGCTGCCCCTGTAGGGCCAGGACTTTTAGTTTGCAAAGCCTTCTGAAATCAGGATCTTACAGGTTTCTTAACAGCTTTGTGAATCATTCAAGAGAGGGATTTTTTTTTTTGAATCCTAAACCCAGAATATAACTGAGCATTTGTCTCAGAAGCATCAGCATCCCGTCATTGACTTGCAAAGCACTGGGTGTGCTGTGCATTGGGACCTTGCATGGCTGGATACCCAGGGCATCTTGGGAAAAGTCATGGTCGTTGGATATCAGCCCTTCAGGGAACAGAAACCCTCCACATTTGACAGATGGGCACACAGAGGCACACAGTAGCAGTGACTCCAGACATAGCAATGGCCACCATTTTTCATTACTTTAGCATGTGTCAGGCAGTTTTCCGTACAATAGCTCATTTAGTTCTCCCAAGAGCCCGATGCGGGAGATATTATCGTCCCCATTTATAGTTGAGGAAACTGAGGCCTAGAGAAGTGATGAAGCTTTCTCAATGACATATAGCAGTGACTGGCTGGATCTAGGTCTTTTCTTGCCAGAGATCTGGTGGAGGTGGCAGCTCAGGGTTGGCTTCATGCATGTGTGACCTGTGCAGTCACTCGGGGCCTATGCTCAGAAGGGACCCACACATGGTTCAGTGCTCTGCTGTCACCATCTTGAAATTCTGAATTCTTTTTTAACAAGGGGCTCCATATTTTTATTTTGCTCTGAGCCCTGCACCCTATGTAGCTGGTCGCGTAGCAGCAGGACCCTTCCCGGGCCCTCAGCAGGAGTTGCTGGATGCTCCTGGCTCCCCTCACTATTTTCCCCTCTTCTCATCCACCAGGCCCTGTTTGACACACAGAATGAACTACGTACACACATCCCAAACTTCACCTTCAACCTGGGCTACTCAGGGAAATTCTTCCACACAGGTAAGTGGGCCTGGCCCTGCCCCTACGAGCAACTTCCAGGGGCTCGTCAACATCCAGACCCTCAGAGCACTGTGCCACAAAGGTTAGCAGTGGGTTTACAGACCCACATTAGGGGCAAATTTGACACCTTTGGCTTCTCCAGAGCCAACAGCCCACAATAGCAGTCACAGCCCAGGCAGCGGCCTTTTCGAGGTAACAGCAACATCGGTTTCCACTCGTCCCTCCCTGAGGCTTTCAGGCTATGCTGTCCTGGTTGGGGCATCTTCTCCTTTTTGACTCCCCTGCACCCTGTACCTTCTAAAATTATTTGTAGTGTTTCTGCTTGTAAAAGAAATTGTTTGAATTTTAAGAACAGTGTAGAATACACAGTATAGAAAGTGAAAATGTCCTGTAATTGTACCCACCCTAGGTGACTACTGTCACTGTAAGGTCGTAAGAATCAAGGTTGTGGGCTATGGGTTGCTTGGCTCATGCCTTCTCCTTTTGGGCTCTCCCAGGTTCCTCGCATGCTGCCCTTCAGGGATTCAGGAAGAGGGAGCAACCCCTGAATGGGTCATCTTCAGTGACCATTCCCTCTAGCTGCCTTCTACTCAGGGCACAGTGAAGATATCCTCTCTTGAATTCTAGGCAAAACCCTATTAGTTAATAATTCTGGGGGAAATATGTGCAATATAGCTCCAGAGCCAAATAGGAGACAACATATATTATCAACCCTTAACGTATCAGAGATGATTGTAATTATATATATTAGACAGGGAATTAAACATCCTATGATATATAAAGAGCTTCTACAAATCAGTAAGTAAAAGACAAATGACCTAATAGAAGAATAGCAAGAGGATAAGAACGGGCATGTCAATGTCAGAGCTGCAAGAAGAGGCCTTAAGATCATTGGCTGCAAATGCAAGGGTCCAGAGAAGAGAAGGAGTTGGTCAGGGGCAACTTGAGTCAAGGGCACACTCTAGACTGGAATCTAGGGTGCTGGACTGGGGCTCTGCCTGCTCCTGTGCTATAGCTCAGATAACTCTCTGGGCCTGGGCCCGGGTTGGAGGACCTCATGGCTGGGTGGGCCAGGCTGAGCTGCCTGTGCTGGGCTGCAGGTACTGATGCTGAGGATGCTGGGGACGACCTGCTGCTATCGTATGTGAAGGAGTTCTGGTGGTTTCCCCACATGTGGAGCCACATGCAGCCCCACCTTTTCCACAACCAGTCCGTGCTGGCCGAGCAGATGGCCCTGAACAAGAAGTTCGCTGTCGTGAGTAAGATTCCCTGCAGGGCAGAGCCGGGAGGGCTAGGGGCTGGGCTGGGGTCCACACTGCTGGCCTCTGGCTGCTTTTGCCGTGGGTCTGACAGCTTTTGGTTAACATCTCTGTGCCAGGGCTAGGACTAGCTGCCTTTATAGATGCTGTCTCACTGAGGCCTCGCAGAGACCCCAAGGGGCAGGTATTGGCAGCCCCATTTTATAGATAAGAAACTGAGGCTCAGGGAGATCACACCAGCTAAGAAGAAGCCCAGCCAGGACATAGGCTCTGGCCTGGCTGTTTCCTGAACCCAAGTTCTTACCTTTATGCTAGGGTAGGAGGTTCCTGGAAGCTGAGGAGGCACTCAGTGAGAAGGGAACGAGGCTGCATCCTAGGCCCAGCCTGGGTCCACCAGCCAACTAGAGCCAAGAGAAGGCAGGAAAAGCCCTGTCCTTGTCCCTCACCATTGGGTGCTTGAGTCCTCTGTGCTGGAGGAGGGTGTGAGCACCGGATTGAGAGTCAGGAGACCTGGATTCTAGTCCTGCTCTGCCAGTCACTCTGGACTCTGGGCACATCCCTCCCCCATTTGTACCATGAGGGCTAAGACCAGCTGCCCTGACGTTCTAGCCTTGGTTTCTCTCTCCTGTTCTCCGAAGGGGAAGCTAAGGCCCAGAGGGGAAGGAGCCTCATGTTCACCCTGCCTTGTCCCTCCTCCCCACAGGAGCATGGCATTCCCACAGACATGGGGTACGCCGTGGCACCCCACCACTCAGGTGTATACCCTGTGCACGTGCAGCTGTACGAGGCCTGGAAGCAAGTGTGGAGCATCCGCGTGACCAGCACGGAGGAGTACCCCCACCTGAAGCCAGCCCGCTATCGCCGTGGCTTCATCCACAATGGCATCATGGTGAGTGGGCCCTGGCAGCCGGGAGGTGGGGAGATGCGGGCCTGCCTGGCCTGGCCCGTGTGCACCGCTGCCCCAGGAAGCCTGGCCCGAGGCTGTCCATCCAGGGAAGGTGGGCTGCCAGTCTGGCCCCTTTCACGAGCTCATGTTAGCTTGTATGATGAACGGGAATCAGGAGATTAGCATTCTTTAAAGCTGGCCCAGGCAGCTCTGCTAAGGACTTGGGACAGGCTGCTGTCATTCATTGGTTTGCTCATTCAGTAATTTTCCTTGAACTTTTACGTGTCTGTCCCTGCTCTAGGCACTTGGGGACACAGGTGTGAACAAAACTGACAAAGATCCTGTGCTTGTAGACCTAACATTCTAGGGGCAGGAGACAGACATTGTGCTTGTAAATGTGTGAAGTATATAATGGTCAGGTGGTGATAAGTGCCGTGGAGAAAAATGAAGCAGGGAGGGGACATAGAGATTGCTGTAGGGAGAGGAGAAACTATTTTAAATAAGGTAGTTAGGGAGGGCTTTCCTGGGAATGAGTCATGCTGCTGTGTGAAGGAAGAGCATTCAAGGCAGAGAGGACAACAAATGCAAAGGTCCTGGGGCAGGGTTGTGCCAGGTTGTTCAAGGACCGACTAGGAGGCCATTGTGGCTGGAGGGGGAGCATGGTAAGAGATGAGGTCAGAGTGGTGATGGATGGATCATCTAGGGCTGCGTGGGGCCATCGGATGGACTTTAGCTTTTAGTCTGAGATGAGAATGTGTTGAGTGGAGCAGTGTTCTGATCTGACTCATATTTTAAAAGGATTTCCGTCATTCTGCCTGTTCTATGGAGCAGAGACTGTAGGAGGCAAAAGTAGAAGCAGGGAACCAGTTAGGGGGCCACTGCAGTCATCCAGAGAGAGATGGTGGTGGCCTGGATCAGGATGTGATGTTGAGATGTGATGAGATTCCAGACTTATTTTGAAGGTAGAATGTCTTAATTATCTAGTGCTGCTATAACAGAAATACCATAAATGATGGCTTTAACAAACAGAAATTTATTCTCTCACAGTTTAGGAGGCTAGACGTCAAAATTCAGGACACCAGCTCGAGGGGAAGACTTTCTCTCTCTGTCAGCTCTGGGGGAAGATCCTTGTCATCAGTCTTCCCCTGGATCTAGGAGTTTATCAGCACAGGGACCTCGGGTCCAATGGACATCCTCTGCTCTTGGCTTTTCTTTCTCGGTGGTAAAAATACCAAAACCAAACCTATTGCTGTCGAGTCAATCCCGACTCATAGCAACCCTATGGACAGAGTAGAACTGTCCCATAGGTTTTCCTAGGAGCAGCCAGTGGATTGGAACTGCTGATCTTTTGGTTAGCAGCCAAGCTTTTAACCACTGTGCCAGTTGTAGGAGTTCCCTATCTCTTTGCTCACTTCTCTCACCTTTTATCCCTTGTAAGATAAACGGTGATGCAGGCCACACCTCAGCGAAACTCAGGACTGTGACCTGATTAAGGGTGTTGCATCTCACCCTAATCCTTTTTAACATAACCTAATCTTGCCTCTTTAAGGACAGGCAGAGATTAGGATTTATAACACATGGGACAGTTACATCAGATCACAAAATGGAGGACAACCACACAATACTGGGATCATGGCCTAGCCAAGCTGATACATATTTCTGGGGGACACTATTCAATCCATGACATAGACCCAACAGTTGGTTATAGGGTGTGCGAGAAAGAGGAGTCAAGGATGGCTCCAAGGTTTTTGGCCTGAGCCACTGGAAGGATGAGTTGTCATCAGCTCAGATGGGGCAGCTGTGGGAGTGGTGGGTTTGTTCATTTATTTATTCATTCATTCACCAACTGACCGTGAACCTCTTTGGTACCCGGCACTCCTATAAAAATCCTTGCTGGGCAAATGCTCTGAGTTCCCAGAAACTTTCTTACTTCCCTGTCTCTGTTACTCTTGGGTCTGTTCATCTTGTGCAGAGGATAGCAGCAAAGTATATAAAATGGCAAGGGGCTATGGGCTTATGCAGGGGCAAGTTTACAGACTTCCGAGGGTCTTTGGGGGAGAGGACCCCCAAGGATGGGGGCTGTGAGAGGAGACGAGATGAGAACAGGCTGATCCTTGCTCTGTGCGGTCACATGGGAGGCTGGCTTTCTGAGGAGACAACCTTACCCTTCTCCTGAGGAAGTGCCCTCCTGCTACTGACTCTGGAGACGCCATGGCTCCTCTCCTGAACCCCATCCCCAGGTCCTCCCACGGCAGACCTGCGGCCTCTTCACACACACCATCTTCTACAATGAGTACCCTGGTGGCTCCAGCGAGCTGAACAAGATCATCAATGGGGGCGAGCTCTTCCTCACCGTGCTCCTCAATCCTGTGAGTGCTCCACAGCCTGTGGCTGGTGAGAGGAGGAGGTGCCGGACCACCTGTCTGCAGCTCAGGCAGGCCCACCTGCACTTGGGGAAAAGATGGATGTGGGAGTGAGGGGCTGGGCATTGGGAGACCCACTGCCCAGGCCTGGCTTTGTCCATCCACTGCTGAGGGGCCTTGGTTGAGGCACCTGAGCTTTCTTAATCTTACACTTTAATATAATAGCATTAACAGTTTTGTCCATGTTCTCTTTCCAGTATTTGCTCATAAGCATGCATATGTATTACTATTTACCTGAACCTCCTGGGTCTCTCTTTCCTTATCTGTAAAATAGAAATAACCATCCTTGCTTGAGTAATATTGAATAACTACCAGGGGTATGTTGTTAATTGGCTTTATGGGTAACTGAGTGCCCCTTATCTTCCATGCATCCCACCCTCCAAAAAAAAATATAAAAGAAAACACAGGTCACTCCCATAATGGGTCAGCTTCCCATTTCTTGGCTGTGATATTTGGTGGATTCACACCTGGCTGTGCCATAGTTTGGTGACAGCCCCAGTGTACCTTGGACTGATCATTGAGTGGCCCTGCAACTGAGGCAGTGCCAGAAGGGTCAGACGTGATGGCAAGGGTGGCTCCAGATGCTGACTGGCCTCCCCCCTCCCCTTCCCTGGAACAGATCAGCATCTTCATGACACATCTGTCCAACTATGGGAATGACCGCCTGGGCCTGTACACCTTCAAGCACCTGGTGCGCTTCCTGCACTCCTGGACCAACCTCCGGCTGCAGACTCTGCCCCCTGTGCAGCTGGGCCAGAAGTACTTCCAGATCTTCTCCGAGGAGAAGGACCCTCTCTGGCAGGTAGGTGGAGGGATGGCGGGGCAGGGTGGCCCGGGTGCCTTGGTGGAGGGATGGAATGCCCGCCTGCTCCAGATATGGGCTGAAGGACTTGGGCCCCTCATGTCTTACACTTACCTTCACATGTAACTCAGGTGCACACTTGCTCACTAGTGTGAGTACATTTGCTTGTACATGTGTACATGTGCACACCTCCCCGTACAGGCCTGTGTGCATGCACACTCATACACAGCTTCCTGAAAAACCATGTTCAGCCTCTACACTACTACTACCAGTAGATTTAGTATCAGTAAGATTTTTAAACCTTTTTAAAAGCTTGCAGTAAAGTTAAAACAAAAGTTTAAGTAAACTGGCAATGACACTAATTTTTATGTATTATCATGATATTTTATATCTGTCTTTATTGAGTAAAAATAATCATGCTGCATGTAAGTCCCACACCAGAAGAATCCTTTCCTCTTGGCAGTGTTTTGGGACTTGAAGATAATGTTTTACTCCAAGAACCTATTACGTTCTCTACTGAGGAGCACAGTATAAAACTTACATTGACCTTTTTATTACTGTCTTTATATGACTGTATAGGATTCTGAATGTTAAAGTATATATGATCTTGGCTAACATTCTTTTATCTTTTTCAAATTAGAGTTGTATAAAAATCTCATTATCTTGCCTTAAATTGGTTGACTTTTTCTTTCTAGGATTCAGATATTGTAGTATTTAAAAAAGAAAAGAGCACATACATTAATTTTCGATACTTAGGCTTCAGATCAAAAAGGACTGAAGTCCCATTATCATCATCCATAGATTAACTTGCATGCTATTTAACTAGCAGTGCAGATATGAATGAATATGATAATTAGTCTCATCTATAAGAACCAAATACTTTAATTATATTAAGTTAGTGAATAAAGATGTATAATATTTTTGTTAATACCTTAAATATATTCAGTGGATTGAATGTGACTTCATAGCTATACTTTGATTGTATTGAAATATTTCTGAATTAAGAAAAAAATGTGTTCAAAAACTGTAAGAGCATGGTGTAGATGATGTGTAGAAGATGACCGCTCTGCCTCCGTTAGACTCTTGGATAATCTCTGATGTCCCTTCTATCTCCAGCAGGCTCTGAGCCATTGGAAGGGGACTGATGGGTTTTAGAGGGCAGCTCTTGAGGAAGCCTGCTCCTCAAAACAGAAGCTGGAATTGGTGGCAGTCATAGTTCAGACCAGGTGTCCGCAAACCGTGGTTCCTGGGCCAAATCCTGCTTGTCACCCGTTTTTGTAAATAAAGTTTAATTGGAACACAGCCATGCTCGTTCTTTTATGTATTGTCTGTGGCTGTTTTTAGGCTACAACGGAAGAGTTGAGGAGTTGCAATAGAGACCAGATGATAACACAAAGCCTAAAATATTTACTAAACTTTACAGTAAAAGTTTGCTGATCCTTGGCTCAGACATAGCTCATCCAGTTAAATTCAGCAAGTCTTCATGAGTTCCTATTATGTGCCAAGCATGGGGCTGGGCATGTTGCTAGGGTCTGTAGGGGGCATGAGACAAGCCATATATGGTCCCTGCCTGCAAGCAGCTCAGTGTCCTAAGGTGGGGATGTGACAAGGACATATGTAGCTATTATCCTTGTCAATCAGGGCTATAAGAGCCACATATCCATGTGCCCTGGAATCCATTCATTGGGTTATTGGGGCCCCCCTCATGCATCTTCAACGATTGCTTTAGGACCCCTGCGAGGACAAGCGCCACAAAGACATCTGGTCCAAGGAGAAGACGTGCGACCGCTTCCCTAAGCTCCTCATCATCGGCCCCCAGAAAACAGGCAGGTCTCTCCACTCTTGACCCAGCGTCTCCCACCTCCTGCTGTCTCAGGCACAGAATTCTGGGAACTGTCTTGCCCTGTTCTCCCCAGTACCCACTAATCTGCTCCCTCTTCCCCAGGAAGTAGAAGTGAAGTTGGGGTAAACATGAATTGCTTATCATTATGTAGGTGGGAAGAAGGTAGAAGCTGGGATAGGGTGGGTACAGAATTCTCCTGTCTGTCCTGAGCCACAGACTGAAGGAGCTCTCCCTGTGTCCTCCTGGGAGTCTCTGAGTCTAGGCAGAAAAGCCCAGATCAGCTGGTCTGCAAGTCTGCCAGACAAAACTAGTTTAGTGCCAAGAGGACTGTGATCAATTAATCAGGTCTGTCAGAGGTTCAGGAAAGAGAAGTGATGACATGATTGCTGAATATTTGTCATCTACACAACCCTGTAAGTCATGAATGGGTAGTCCTGTTTTACAGACAACGAACTCAAATGTTGGAGAAGTTAAGTGACTTCCTCAAACACATTCAGTTAGGAAATGGCAGCTTCAGGTCTTGAACCCTGGTATCTGACCCCAAAGTTTATACTCTTTGTATTTTATTACTGTACTTTAAGTGAAAGTGTACAACTCAAGTCAGTCTCTCATACAAAAATTTATACATACATTGTCATGTGACCCTAATTGCTTTCCCTATACTGTGACAGCACACTCCTCCTTTCCACCCCTAATTTACTGTGTCCATTTAACCAGCTCCTGACCCTCTCTGCCTTCTCATCTCATCTCCGGACAGGAGCTGCCCATTTAGTCTCATGTATCTACTTGAGCTAAGAAGCACACTCTTTACGAGTTATCATTTTATGTCCCATAGTCCAGTCTAATCTTTGTCTGAGGAGTTGGCTTTGGGAGTGGTTTTAGTTCTGGGTTGACAGAGATTCCAGAGGCCATGTTTTCTGGGGTTCCTCCAGTCTCAGACCATTAAGTCTGGTCTTTTTGTTAGAATTTGAGTTCTGCACCCCACTTATCTCCTGCTCCATCAGGGACTCCCTGTTGTGTTCCTGTCAGAGTGGTGATTGGTGGTAGCCAGGCACCATCTAGTTCTTCTGGTCTCAGGCTGATGGAGTCTCTGGTTTATATGGCCCTTTCTGTCTCTTGGGCTAATACTTTCCTTGTGTCTTTGGTGTTCTTCATTTTCCTTTACTCCAGGTGGGTTGGGACCAATTGATGCATCTTAGATGGCCATTCGCTGGCTTTTAAGACCCTAGACACCACTCACCAAAGTAGGATGCAGAACATTTTCTTAATAAACTTCTTTATGCCAGTTGACCTAGATGTTCCCTGAAAGCATGGTCCCCAGACCCCCGCCCCTGCTACTCTGTTCCTCGACGAAGTTCGTACTCTGAATCCTGAAATTCTGCAGCCTCTTTCTTTTCTGGGATCTCTCAAATGTATGGTTTATATAGCAGATAAACTATAGACTCACACCACAGGGAATGAATGAACTCGCTAGGACTGTGATGGAGAAGGGAGCATGAGTGAGGGCAGGGTACCCAGAGGAGGAAACACCTAAGCTAGATTTCTTGGCCCTTCAAGAATTTCATGTCAACAGAACTGGAGGGTCTGGAGCTTTCTTTTTTCCAACCTTCTCCTAAGTGCCAGAGAGGGCAGAGGTTGGAAGGGACCAATAGAAACAGTAGTCAATTGGATGTGGCTCTGGAGTGCAGTGGTGAGAATTCTGATGCTGAGTCCTTGTTTAGTGATAAAGAATGCTGTGATGAATTAGTTATAGCTACAGAGGGTGCAGGAGTTGGGATGTCTACATGCATGCCATGTATTTGCCATACTGGGTTTAATAGAATTTCTTTATTGTACAGCTGAGGACACTAAGGCCCAGAGAGGAAGGGACTTACCCAGGGTCTTCCAGAGGGTAATGGAGAGCTAGGAACAGAACTTAGGATTTCAGACTCCCTATTCCGTGTGTTGCCTCCTCTCTCCCTCTTCTTCTTGGGGGCTGGGCCCTGGGTCTCAGCTTCCTTCCCTCCCACAGGCACCACAGCCCTCTACCTGTTCCTGGGCATGCACCCGGACCTGAGCAGCAACTACCCCAGCTCTGAGACCTTTGAGGAGATCCAGTTTTTTAACGGCCACAACTATCACAAAGGCATCGACTGGTGAGTGGGCCTTCCTGTCCACAGCAGGACGGGACGGCCATTGTGGGCACAGTAGGAAGCAGCTGACTCTTGCTCACACACAGCTGAAGTTCCTGTAAACAGGATCAAAACACAGTGACCCTTGGGTCGTGATATTGGAGCCTTGTCACAGATAGGACACTTAATGAGGAAGCCCTTTGCCCCTTTGCATTATCATCTGGGGTCAGAGACCACTGGAAGTCAGAATCGAGCCCCCCACCTTGCTTGCACAGGAACATCCTGAGCCCCAGAGAGGAGAGGGACTCATCCAAGGGCCTGAGAGCTGGGGACAGAGCAGGGGCTAAAATCCAAATGTCCTAACTGAGAGCTGGCCCTTCCCACCGTGTTAGGCTGACCATGGGGCAGGAGGTGTTCTTGTGGGCCGGCTGCCTAGCCTTCAGGGACTTGCCCTAGGAGGTGGTTAAAATTGCAGCTTCCCATCAGACCCTGTCAACAGAGGTTACTTTAGGGTGGGTGTGGGGGATCAGCTCGGGGATGGCCTTACTCTCCAGTTTCCCAGTTTGTATCTTTCTATACTGTACGGCTTTTCTCAGCTTATATGTGTATTGCTATTATTATTTTTATGTCAGTGGGTTAGCTTGGTGGAGAGATTATGGGCCATGTTCTGTTTTTTGGTATTTCTCTGTGTGTATTTTTCTTTCTTTTTTGCCCTGTCTTTCTGTTTTCTGTATCTTATCTAATCTATCTGTTTATCATCTATCTCCCTAACATATCCACGATCTCTTATCTAAAACCTGTTGTGTCTAGATTTGTAATTGGAAGTCAGAATTTTTTGGATTTTAGAAAGGTAATATGATACCATATATTTAGCAGCACCCTCAGCAGGGCCTAGGGCAGCACTCCATTAGCAAATGCAGTAACATGAAGTAAAATATATTAATAGTTACACTGTGGTTGTTGTTAGGTGCCTTCGAGTTGGTTCTGGCTCACAGCAACCCTGTGTACAACAGAACGAAACACTGCCTGGTCCTGCGCCATCCTCACAGTCGTTTCTATGTTTGAGCCAGTTGTTGCAGCCACTGTGTCAGTCCATTTCGTTGAAGGTCTTCCACTTTTTCGCTGACCCTCTACTTTACCTAGCATGATGTCCTTCTCCAGGGACTGGTCCCTCCTGATAACATGTACAAAGTATGTGAGATGTAGTCTTGCCATCCTTGCTTCTAAGGAGCCTTCTGGTTGTACTTCTTCCAAGACAGATTTGTTCATTCTTCTGGCAGTCCATGGTATCTTCAGTATTCTTCACCAACACCATAATGCAAAGGCATCAATTCTTCTTTGGTCTTCCTTATTCACCATCCAGCTTTCGCATGCATATGAGGCAATTGAAAATACAGTGGCCTCTGTTAGGCCCACCTTAGTCCTCAAAGTGACATCTTTGCTTTTTAACACTTTAAAGAGGTCTTTTGCAGCAGATTTGCCCATAAATTGGTCAGGTTTTGCTGCCAACTGACTTTTGCTGCAAACGTAACGAAAAACAGTTTCTGTTTTCAGAGCTTTCTTGATTTAGGTATTACAGAGGATTGTAGACATATAAATGCTATTTTATAAAGAATATTCAGAAAGATGAGAGAGATATAGACTGCTAGGCTCCATTCCTGAGATTTTGATTCTGTAGGTGGGTCTAGGTGGGGTGCAGGAATCTATCCAGCCCCCAGGTGATTTCTGATAAAGGGTGTTCTTGGGACTACAGGGTAGATAGAGTAGGGATTCCACAGATATCTCAGCTAGGGTGGGCTTTGGTTCTCATGAGTCCCTGAAGCTATGCCTCTGATTTTGCATAGGTGTCCTTGAGAGGGTCTGGAGTGTTCAGTTAGTTTCCAGAGGGATCCTCAATCTAGAGGTGGTCCCAAAGGACTGGTATAGACAGTTACCTGGGTGGGATGAGGGGCGTTTGTCTGGAAGACTGTCAGGCCCACCCACAGCAGGCTGGGGAGGGGAGACTGGGTGGCAGAAGATGACCCACCCCTTCCTTGGTCTTCTGGTCCACAGGGACAGCCCAGAAAGTGCCATCCTAGTTCAGGGTGGGGACCCTGCCCTCTGGAGGTAGAAGAGGGCAGCACCTCCCCTTGGTTCTGGCCCTCCCTCCATCAGAGGTGGAGCCTCTCTGAGTCCCAGCTCGCCCTCTAGAGGCAGAGAGAGTTAGAGCCCTATAACAGTGGGTGCATCAGACTCAGCGGGGGGTAGGGGGGATGGCATCCCAGCGCTTAGGATTGAATGACACAACTCCTCCTCATGCTCCAATACCTGTATCACACCCATACGTCTTAAGATTCTTCTGACTCTGAGGTCTTCCCTGAAAAGGAATGAATGTGGAAGAGAGGCTGCCAAATGGCCATGGCTCTCAAGGAATCCCGACTAGGAGTCCTTGTTTGGATGGGAGCAATATTTCTCACTTGTTTTCTGAGGAAGTTCTTCCCTCAGCCCAACCTCTCATGCTGTGTTCCTCAGGCTCCTTCCTCATGAGTCTTGCTTGTGAACCCCTTCTCTGGGCTTCTTGCAGGTACATGGAGTTCTTCCCTATCCCCTCCAACACCACCTCTGACTTCTACTTTGAGAAAAGCGCCAACTACTTTGATTCAGAAGTGGCACCCCGCCGGGCAGCCGCCCTGTTGCCCAAGGCCAAGATCTTGACCATCCTCATCAACCCTGCAGACCGGGCCTATTCCTGGTACCAGGTGAGCCAGGGCTGGGATGGAGTCCCTGGGTGGTGGCTGGGAGACTTTCTGCCACTCAGTTACCCACTTATTCTTTCAGTCAGTATTTATTAAGCATCTAGTATGTGCCACCTCTGAGCTAGGTACCTGGGCTGTGGCAGTGAGGAAGAATAGAGGAAGGCTGCCTTCATGGAGCTCCTAGCCTGGGAGGAGACTGGCAGAAATCCATATTGAACCCCAGGCCACAGTTAACTGCCCACTTTCCTAGCTTCACCTGGGTTCCTTCCTCTGACACCAGCAAGAGGTGGAGGCTGGTTCCACCTTGATGAGGCCTAGATTTGGCAGACGGTGACCTGGGCTTATACACACTGTAGAATCCGGGGGTCGGGGTAGCAGTGGGAATTCCGAGATGAACAAGACCAGACGTGGCATTGTTCGTGGAGGATGCAAACGCCTCATCAGGTAAGGAAGTAAAACGCACTGTGATACATGCTAGAGAGGCTGCCAGTCCTAGTTCTTACTTGAGGTTTACAAAGACTAGAACTTTAATTTCTATGACCTGACTTAATCCTGACTCTCAGTGCCATTCCACTGGGTTTCCAGTAAAGCTTAAGCTCAGACCTTTGGGGAGGATTCCTCCCCTGCAACCAGTCTTTCTGGGATTATGCCACAGTGCCAGGGTAGTGGGCGGCTCCTGGGCCTTAGCCGCTGGTTACTAGGGAGGACTCCACCGGCCTGCATAGGAAGGCCTCTCAGTCCTGGCCACTTTCAGTAGCTCCCTGCCACCCTTGAGCCTGTTCATGTGGATGCTTCACAAGGCCACTCCCTCTTGGGGGCCTTGCTGTGTCCCTGCAGTGCTGGCAGGTGGTAGGGCACAGATCCTCCTTGCTCCCTGGTCCCGCAGACCTCTCTTCCCACCTCCCCTCCTGAGCCTGGTGGGGAAGCTGCCCTCTTCCTCTGACGTCTCTAGGACATTTTGTCTCTGTCTTGAAACCCTCCTCTCCTGTGGGCTTTGTCATTAGGGAAGTAAGTCAGAAACACCTGGAGGCCACTTCTAATCTCTGTTGTGCTGCAAGCAGTGAGCAGAGAACGGGCTGTTGTTCTCCTGGGGCAGGGGCAACAGAAATACCGGCTTATAGAGGGAAGGCTGTCATGGACTGAGTTGGTCCCACAGTCTGCAGTCTGTACTTATGACAATGCTGTGCGTTTTCCACCTGCCACCTTGTTGGAGCTTCACAGCAGTTCTCTAGAAGGCAGAGGGGTTTGTGCACATCGGCCCTTCTGACAGATGAGAAAACCGAGACACAGCAGGCAAGTCAAGTGACTAGCTCAAATTCATGGGGTGGCATTTTGAACCCTAGTCTTCTAAGTCTAAGACTCGGTTCTTCTGTCCATGGTCAGGGGGGTAAGAGAGACAAAGAGGAGACTGATTGCACCAGAGAATCCAGGAAGGTGCTGGAAGGCGAGGGAGGAGGGTGGCCTCTCTGTGATTGGAGGGCAGATAGGAGGGAGGCTCTTATGCACCATTATTGCGCCAGCCCCCTTCCCTGTGCTTTGTGTTGGGGCAGTGGTTGGCCTGTGAGGGTTATCCCTTGAGGGGCAGGACCCTGAACTCTGAAATTTCAGGAATTCTGCAGGAGCACTTAGAGATCCCACCCAGTGTTTCCCAAAGGGGCTGTGCACCCCAACAGCCTGTGGCATTGTTTTAGGTGATTCAGACTCCGCATTTCCTTCTTTCCAGTTCTTTCCCAATCCTTCTGATTTCGGTAAAAAGAAATTCTCAGTTTGGTGCAAGTGGCCTTTAACTCCTCTCAAACACTGTTAAGCTCCATTTTCAACAAAGAGAGAGCAAGTTTTGAGTTTGGGGCCTGCAGCAAGCATTTGTGTCTGGCTGGAATTTGAGAACATTGCTTATATATATATTTCTGTGTGTGTGTGTGTGTGTGTTTATGTATTTATGAGTGGTTACCTTCTATTTAGGAGCTTTGGTGGCACAGGGGTTAAGCACTCAGCTGCTAACTGAAAGGTCAGCGGTTTGAATCCAGCAGCTACTCCATGGGAGAAAGATGTGGCAGTCTGCTTCTATAAAGATTACAGCCTGGAAACCCCATGGGGCAGTTCTGGTCTGTTCTACAGGGTCACTATGAGTCGGAATTGACTCAACAGCAGTGGGTTACCTTCTGTTTATGACAAATGAATCTTGTTTTCCATTCATGGAGGTGATACTGAGATTTCTTTTGAAATAGATTTATGTGAAGAAGAAAGGTAAGCCAATGTAAAGAAAATTATGTTGACAATGGCACACACAGGTGGTTTGTGGATATGGCAGAAATTGTAGAGAGGTTGTGTGAATGACCAACATTTGGAATCCCCAATCTAGTCTGACTCCTGTTTTGCAAAGATAGGGAAGCTCAGGCTCAGAGGGGCCCATAACTTCCCTGAGGTCAAGCAGCAGTGAGAGGCAGAGCCAGCCCAGGATCTCCTAGCCACCTCCCAGGCTGCTGTTCCAAGAAGGCTTCTTCCTTTGTGCCCTCCGCACAACATGCTGACCCTCTTGCTTGCACGCAGCACCAGCGAGCCCATGATGACCCAGTGGCCCTGAAGTACACCTTCCACGAGGTGATCACGGCAGGCCCCGACACATCCTCGAAGCTGCGCGCCCTCCAGAACCGCTGCCTGGTCCCTGGCTGGTATGCCACCCACATCGAGCGCTGGCTCAGCGCCTTTCACGCCAACCAGGTAACTGCCTGTCCCTGACCCATGGGAGGGCAACCATAGTACTGGTTGCTTGGTTAGTGGAGAGCCTCAAAATATCTCACTATCCCAGTAAGAGAGATGAAACTTCAACAATCAGAGATGGAAGCATAAAGCCGCCCTCTCTGGCTGCATTCTTGGGGAAATCTTACGGCAGAAGTGCTCCCTTCTCACTGTCTTGGAAGTTGAAGGTGGAGAAGGGAAGTCAGTCCTTCACCTCAAGGTAGAATGGAGCAGCAGCTAAGTGTGGGCTGTGGCATCCAGGACGCCCGTGTTAGAGTCCCAGATCCATTAATTCCTCCACTGTGTCACTTTGGACTCTCCTTCAAGCCTCACTTTCCTTAGTCACGGAGTGTGAAATGGTGCCATTAGTGAGTTAGACCTCTGGGGTCTTGAAGGGCTTTAGCCTGGTTTACCCCAGGGTTGATATTTGAGAATTCCCCAAGTTCTTGTCCACTGCAGCAGACTCTGTAGAAGGAGACTCAGAAATCTCTGAGGTACACAGGTGGAGGGGAGAGACGGGAGCATGGTGGAAGGGAGCCGGATCACACAAGGCCTTTTTGGGAAACCTTTGAAGGGTTTAAGCAGGGGAGTGATGTATAGGCTGAGAGCTCGGAGAGGGGCCAAAAGAGGGATATCGTAGGGGTATGAGAGGTACCAGGGTTTTGGTAATATCTTAAACTCTAGGAGAGGATGGCATTGGTCAGGGGAAGTTGGTGGAGAGCAGGGAGTTAGACAATAGAGAAGACTGAGCCTTGGGAACACTTACCATGCAAAGGTGGAGGGAGAAGATTCTAGAGTGCAGGGTCCCAAATTTGTGGCCAGTCCATTCCTGCTGCCATGGTTGCTGGCCCAGCAGATTGGGAGCCTGTCTGGTACTGATTAGAAATAGGTTTAGAGCACCCTTCCCCCTTTCCTTCCTTCCAGATTCTGGTATTGGATGGCAAACTGCTGCGAACAGAACCTGCCAAAGTGATGGATATGGTGCAGAAGTTCCTTGGGGTGGCCAACACCATTGACTACCACAAAACCTTGGCGTGAGTGCTGCCTTGGTCTTTCAGCAGAGGGATTCCACTGATCAGGCACCTGGGCTAAAAAGCCGAAGTCTTGAATGATTATGGGAGAGAGACAGGTTAATTAGAGTTAACACTTCCCTGATGACAGGTTAGCAGAAAAGCTAAGCTGATCTTAAGTCATATTAATAAAGGTATGCACTCAAGACAAAGGGAGGTGATGGGGTGTTTTATTCAGTCTGGGCTAGGTAAGTTAGATCAGCAATGAGCAGTCCCTATTCCCACAAGGATCTCTTAGTATTAGATTATGATTTAAAATATAATTTCAGGAAAAAGAAACTAAACATATTATTAATGGCTAATGATCCCGCTTAATCAGTACCCAGTGCCAGTCATTGAGAATGCCCTCCCCAAGACAAATAACTGCCAGCCTGTGTTGCAGGGGTCAGGGCTCGGGAGGGGCTGCCTCCTAGTTCTGGTCACAGATGAATGCCTCACTCAGCCAGATGAGGGCTCCAGGAGGAGGAGTAAAGCCGCCCTCTCTGGCTGTGTTTTTGGGGAAGTCTTACAGCAGAAGTGCTCCCTTCTCACTGTCTTGGAAGTTGAAGGTGGAGAAGGGAAGTCAGTCCTTAGAGGCAGAATGGAGCAGCAGTTAGGAGTGTGGGCTGTAGCATCCAGGACGCCCGTGTTAAGAGTCCCAGATCCATTACTTCCTCAGCTGTGTCACTTTGAACTCTTAACTTCTTCCAGCCTCACTTTCCTCATCTGTAAATTGGGGATAAAGATAATAAGTCTAGCTCCCTGAGAGTCTCTGTGAGCATTGAATGAAAGCCTGCATGGGGAGCTCCTAGCTCAGTGGCTGGCATGTATTGAGTGCCCAACAAATGGTAGCAATTATTATTGTTATTAGCATTGATGACTTTGCCCACCCTGTGACCCACTCAGATCCCTAGCTCACTTACCTACCAAAGATGAATTCTTTTTTCCTGATACCCTTCTCCTCAACAATCTTCTAATGGTTCCAGATCTGGTGCTGAATTCATGCTAGTATGCCTCTGCTCCCTGTGGCAGCTTCAGATCTCATCTGCCCAAAATGTCTTTGAAGGCCCAGCATGACATCAGATACTGAAGACGTACTTGCTCTGTCATTTCTGAAATTTACTCCGTAAGAGAAACTCATCGGTGATGGGCAAGCTTAAAAGCAGCTGCAAAGATTGCATTTCCTGATAAAGATATAATTGATTAAAAACCAAAAGAACCTCCAGTAAAATTTCCCCCCTATTGGGTTCTTAAGGAGCCATGGTGGTGCAGTGGTTAAATACTTGGCTGCTGACCGAAAGGTTGGCGGTTCAAAACTACCAGCCGTTCGGCAGGAGAAGTGTGGCGGTCTGCTTCTGTAAAGATTACAGCTTTGGAAACCCTATGAGGCCAGTTCTCCTCTGTCCTGTGGGGTCGCTATGAGTTGAAATCGACTCATAGGCAGTGGGTTTTTGGTTTTGGATTGGTTCTTGGGTAAAAAAATGTGTTGCTCACCACTGAGTTACAGAATGCTCAGAAGAGATTGCCCACAGTAATGAAGGATGGGAAAGTGATTTATGTTATAGATTGCTGAAGGAACTGAGGCCACTCATCCAGGAGGACAGGAGATTCAGTGTTTATTGTAGCCCAATGGCAGAACTAGGGCTAAAGAAGTAAATATCATCCCCACACAATCAGTGTGGGTACAAAAGTGTGTGTGTCAGTGTGCTTTTGTACATATATGCGTGTATGTGTGTGTGCATGTGTGTGTGTGCGCAAGTGTGTGTGTGTGTGTAGGGGAGTAGATTTCCTGATCTCCAAGGCTCTGCCATTCCTGGGGTCTGTGAACATTATTGCCTTAAGGTGGCAAGAGGCTGAATTAGGCCAGCTCCCAATCCACAGACCTTCCCTACCTCCACAGGTTTGATCCAAAGAAAGGATTTTGGTGCCAACTGCTTGAAGGAGGAAAAACCAAGTGTCTGGGCAAAAGCAAAGGCCGGAAATACCCAGAGATGGACTTGGATGTAAGTGACGGACACGCTGCCTGCAGTAGCTGGATAAGTGGAGGGTTTCCTCTACTGGAGGGAGCCTTTTCTCCCCCTTAACCTATGTCCAGGATGTTAATGGCATTGGCATTTCTTGGACAGTGTTCTTAAGAGGAGGAAATATGGGCTAGGACTTGGTGGTCAGAATTGATTTAGTTCATGAAGTATCTGTTATCTGCTACTGAGGACTGAGTGCTGTGGGGCTTTGAGGATGAGCCAGATGTGGTCCCTGTCTTCACGGACTCCTTGTCTAGGAGGGAGATGAGACACACACATCAATAGGAATATGAGGGCAGAAAGCGTAGAGTGCAGTAAGAGGTGCATACATTGCTATGGGAATTCAGAACAAGGAGATGTCACGTGAAGCTGGGAGGGGTTTGGAAGGCTTCTCACAGGAGGGGAGGGGATCTCTGGAGTTGAGCCTAGAAGGATGAGGTAGAATTTGGATCTATGAAATCGAAGAATGGGGCATTCTCGCTGGGGAGAACAGCATGTGCAAAAGCATATAGGGGAAAGGTCACAAACTGAATCTTGTTATGTTTCCCTTTTCTCGTTGGCCTCATTGTTCTGATTAATTCTTTCTCTTTTCTCCTTATCACAAGAATTTTGACCTTGTGTGCTATATTTTGGTGCTTCTACTGTATAGAAGTTCTCTATTGGAGGCCACCATTTAGAAGAAGATTGTGAATAAATAATAGATGTATGGGATGAATCCAACAGAATGGTGGTTTTAGAAAGGGGTTCTCTCTTGAATCAACACATCACCAAGATTTGAGCTTTCCTTCCTGTTACAGTCTCGAGCCTTCCTGAAGGATTATTACCGAGACCACAACATCGAGCTTTCCAAGCTGCTGTACAAGATGGGCCAGACATTGCCCACCTGGCTACGGGAGGACCTCCAGAACACCAGGTAGCTGCGGCCACCACAGCCAGACTGAACATTTGTGACGGCAGGGACATCCTGCCGCACGCTGAGCCAGACTGACCTGTAGGATGGGGAGCTGGGCCTAGGCTGGCCAAGCATTTATGAGCAATACTCTGCTGAGGCTCAGACAGGGCCAGGAGAAGAGTCCAGGCAGGTCCACAAGGGCCTCAGAGCATCCATTGCTGGGTCTGTGGCCTATAGGACCTCCCTGACCACCAGAGGTCAATTCCGTTCACAGCCTCTCTGTGGAGAGGCCACTTTCTGTTGGAGGGAAGGCCACTTCCTGTTGGGGAGAGGCAACTTCCTGTTGGTGGAATACCACTTCTATTGGCGGAAGGCCACTTCCTGGTAGGACGGATTCCATGAGACTCTCTTCTCTTTCCCTCACTGTGTTCTACCAACCATATCCTTTTCCTTCATCCCACCACCCACCCCAGCAGGGTGTCCTCTCAGTATTAGCTGCCATATTTTCCCTGTCCTCCAGACAATAAGGGAAAAGAGCCCAGCTGGGCCTTTTGCCAAACCAGGGAGAGGGACTGGACATTTCCCTGACTGTTTCAAGCCAGGCCATCCAGAGGGGTCATCTAGGTATTCAGAGTCAATCACTAGGTTGGATGTGAATGTGGCCACCTCGAGAGAGAGATCTCTGAACCTCTACACACATTCTGATTAATACCTTCACCTCTCACCTTTCCTTTTTTTGGGAAAGACTCTCGGGTTCCTACAGTATCCACCCAGTCCTCAAGGCCTCCTTCAGGCCCTGGGGCACTGCCATGCCTTTTGAACCTGGAGACCTAGGCCTCAACCCTACTCCCTTTCTTCATGCTGGGATATGACATGTGTGGTGTTTCCTGTGGTAAAAGATTGAGGTGGTTCAGGAGTCTGCCAGTATATACGTTCCAATGTACATACGTTGTCCCTGTGCCCACCCAGCCTCGGCCCCTGGCAGACACTGGGAAGAGCTGGTGAGACTGCCATCCACTGCTTTGCCCCAGCTTCCTGTGGCTGAGGGTTCCCAGAGACCCCTTTAACCTCCCAAATACTAAGAAGCTAAAGTATTTTAATATTTTGTTTGTTTTTTTCTTGGTGCCAGAGTTTATACCCTGGGTGCTGGGGTCGCACTGTGTTTTATATATATATATATATATATATATAATGTGTATATATATATTCTATTTTTTTTGGTTGGGTTTGTTTTTAATTCAGTCGTACAAAATGATGGTAAGCCCCAGTTCCAAAGGGTGTCACATCTCAGTGCTAGAGAATGAGATGGAAGGGAGGGGGGTGTATCTTCATGTGTCTGGGGCCTCAAGGAGACAGTATGGAGGAGCTCTTGGGAGGTTTCCGTTCCCTCTCCCAAGTGCCCTGTCTGTCCCAAGGGTACCCCAGGTGAAAAGCGGTGGTGAGATGTTCAGGGAAGAACAACCCTCTCCAGGAAATCTGGCTTCCTGAAGCCCAGTGACCCTGGGGGAATTTTGGCCAAAGGAAACAGCTGGGGCTGGGTTGGAGAGTTGGGGCCAAAGACTGGCCCATCCCCACTCCCCCTCACATGGTGCTAGGTTGGGAGCTGCCCTAGGAAGTGGGATGCCCACTGGGACCCACAGAACTGCCTCCAGGCCCCCCTGCAGACAGTGGGATCTCTGGGCTGTTTTCTGGCTGGGGTCTGCTCCTACACCCCCCTTCTTTTAACAATGTGAAGTGACTGAAGCTGGGGTGCCTCTCCCCAGCCCCCTCCAACTGCCAACTCAGCTTTGAACTGACACCTAGGAAATACTTTCTGGAGAGCCTTGTCTTGTTAAGAAGACTCTAGCATCTTGGCTCTGGAAGGGTCCTTCAGCAGGTATGGAAATAAGTCCAGAAAGGGGAGGTGACCTACTTGACAATGTCACAGAGCTGAGTGGGAGCAGGGCCGAGAATTGAACTTGAGGCTCCTGATCCTGAGTCCAGTGCTCTTCTTTCAATGCCACACTGCCTCTGAGCCCATCCTTGGGATCCTACTCCGTGCCAGGTTCCTGTCTCTTCCTCTGTCACACCCTAGTCATTCCAGGATAAGGGGACAAACCACTCCTTCCCAGCCAGGGTGCCTTTGAGCTTTCTCAGTTCTAGATCGGCATTTTCATCCCTCTTTTGCTTTCCCCACCTTGAAGGGGCCTGGGCTTATCTCAGTTCTGGACTGATTCCCTTTTCTCAAGTTCTACCCTGGGGTGGAGAAGAAAGTTGGGTACTGGACCAGCTATGTGTGGTTTCATTGTGTTCTGCTGGGAGAGTTCCTATTATTCTTCTCACTGGGGCCTTTAAGCCTGGAGACTTTGGGCCATGAGGGGAGGGAGCAGATGAGGAACTGTCTGAGATCAGAGTGGGATGTACACACACACACACACACACACGCACGCACACGTGCGCACGCACGCACACACACGCGCGCACGCACGTGAAGATTGCCCGCACAGTGGGATCAGACAGCGAGAGTGGGACAATGCTTTCATAGCTCAACTCCTGGGCCTCACTTCCCATCTGTCTTTGAGGGGTTGGGCTCTGTGTCTGTGAGGACCTTACAGCTCCCACATTCTCTGGTCTATCTTCTGGGCCTAGAGGCCTGCTCCCGTCTCCTGGAGCCCAGAAGGCCCAGGCTGACTGGATGAAGCTGACACTTGTGGGGCAGGCAGTTCTCTTCTCTCTGCCTTTGGCCTGGGGAAGGAGCAGGCAGGCTTGAGATCCTGTGAGAGCAGAGGAGATATTGTGGATTTTTGTCCAGGCACTTTCGGGGGGACTGGAACCTGAGCTGTATGTGTTCTAAGTCTGTCTGGTCACTGCTGCTGTTTCTCTTCCCACTAACAAATCTTTCCTGAGGAGCCACTGGGCCCAGACACTGCCAGGACCTTTAGGGATGGGGATAAGTCTCGCTAGGGGTACTCAGCTAATGGGCACACAGATTCCCACACAAGAGGAGAAAACCAGAGACCAGTGGGTGTAGCATCATCAGCATCTCTAATCTTCATCAGTTCACTATAAGTGATTGGCCAGAAAAGTGAGGGAGAGAGAAATAGCTTAAATGGTGCAGGTGACTCCACCCTCCATTCTGTGTTTCGTCCGTGAGCCTCAGTCCCTCCAGGTTCTCATAGCCTCCCATGGTGTGGGCATCTCACCACTGGGAGGGCGAGTCTGCAGTTTAAAGATGGACCTTTTCCAGGCCCGTAAATACGAGGAAAGGAGCTCTGGTGGTGCGGCAGTTAAGCATTCAACTGCTAACCCAAAGGTCGGCAGTTTGAACCCACCCAGGGGATCCATGGGACAAATGTGGCAGTCTGCTTTCGTAAAGATTACAGCCTAGAAAACCCTAAGGGGCAGTTCTCTGTCACGTGGGTCGCTATGAGTCAGAATCAACAGCACCTAACAACAACAACAACAAAATATGAGCAGCTGTGCCTCTGGGGCCCAGTTGAGGAAGCAGCAGTCTGTTCCCGCCAGAGGACTCCTGGCTGGACTGCCTTAGTGGAAACTGGCGGTTCCCAACGTGGTGCTGTCCCCGCGGGTCGCTAGTGAGAAGAGCAAGTAAAAAAAAATGTTCTACTGTCATTTTATCACGAACACCCATATGCTTACCATCTAGATTTACAATGATTAACATTTTTGCCACATTTGTTTCTCTCTCTGTTTTATGGTTGTTGTTTTTTTCTGTTTTAAAAGTTGCAAACATGATGAGACTTCTCCCCTAGGTGCTTTAGCCAACATCTCCTAAGAGTTAGGACATATCCTTCACGTTGGCCCAATATCGGAGTCTTGGTGGTGCAGTAACTAAGAGCTCAGCCGCTAACCAAAAGGTTGGCATTTTGAGTCCACCAGCCGCTCCTTGGAAACCCTGTGAGGCAGTTCTACTCTGTCCTATAGGGTTGCTATGAGTTGGAATCGACTTGACGGCAACGGGTTTGGCCCAATATATCACACCCATGACAACAGTCATTTCCTAACAACAGCTGCTATCCAGTCCACTTTTAAATGTTCCCTGTTGTCCCTCAAGTAACTTGTAGCTGCTTTTCAAACCAGGATCCAGTCAGGGTACACACACTGCATTTTGTACAGTGTTTCTTTAATCTCTTTTAATGCTGAAAAGACCACCCCCACCTCAACACACACACACTTTGATTTTTTAAACGACAGACATTGATTTTTGGAGGCTGGCGGCCTGCTGTGTGTAGAAGCCCCACATGGCTTTGTCTGATTGTCTCTCGTGGTGTCGGATAACCAGTTCCTCCATCCCCTGTATCGTCAAAGGTAATTTAGGCTGTGTGGATTTTTATCTTCTGCGCTGACTTGACAGCTTCACTCCTGCCTGAGATGTGCTCCTATTGTCAGCTGTACCAAGTGCCAAACCAGCAGAGGGGCAGTCGGAGCTCTAGCGGCTCAGGGACGGTGAGGGCGGGTTTCCTGGAGAAGACAGCATCCCGCTGGGCCCAGGAGGAAGGGAGAGAGGACATTGTAGAAGGCGTTGCGGCGCTGTTGAGAATGAGGTATCTTGAGTCAGGAGGAGCCTCAGCTGCCTTTTTGAGCTGGGGATGGTCCACAGGCACCAGACAGCATCTCTCTCTCTCTCTCTCTGTCTCTCTCATGGTCCTTGGGTTTTCACTCCCTGGAGGCCCAGGGTCTTTTGTGGACTCAGGTGTGCACTTGAGCAGAGCCAGGCCCCTGGGACACATCGGGAGGGCCTGGCTGGGGAGCTGCCTCCCCAGGCCATGGTGTGGGGAGAAGAGCACTGGGCTAGAGGTGGGAGAGCTGAGGTTGAGTCTCAGTGGGTGCAGTTAGTGGCCATGTGCTGGCTGTCCTCCCAGGGCCCCCTATTTCCCCATCTATAAAATGAGTGGATGGGGCTACAGCAGTGGTTTTCAAATATCAAAGAAAGTCCTAAGCAGAAACAACAGGTAGGACAGATGGGAGCAGGTCTGCTCTAGTTGCAGTGAGGTTGGGGGGCTCAGAGGCTCCCCCACCCAGAGGCAGTACTGGAATCGGGTTTGCCAAGCCTGAGGTGGTTGCCCTTGGGGCTTGCCCTGCCAGCTCAGGTGGTGAGAGGTGGCTTAGCTCCTCCAGGGTGCTGGGGCTTTGTGTGGACTCAATGCCCAGGGCCTGGGGGAGAACTAGGGCTGCGTTTTACCCTAAGGTGTTCATCCTTCCTGCTCCTCTTCCTCTCTGGTCCTGGAGGAGGAGGAGGAGGAAAGGTTTTCTATGACTGTGTAGCTTTTATTATCAGCAAGAGGGCTCCTTTTGTAATTTTTGCATGAAATTCATGTCATTTCCTGGGGAGAGGAGAGAGCCGACTGGAGGGGGTGGGGGCACATTGGGGGAGCAGGCAAAGGCTTCCTTCCCATGCTGGGGGGTGGGGAGGGGTGGAGAGGAGGCGCTACCCAGCTCATCTGATGAGGGCTCTCGAACCAGCCGTTTTGGGTTGTGTTAAAAGTGGCAACCTTCCTCCATTAATGTACAATCTCGAACTAACTGCTAATAAAGTGGGGTTCTGTTTGTACACATTGGTCCTGTTTGTCTGTCTGTGGCACCTTTTTGCAAGGGCAGGGGAGGGTGGAGATGGGGATGTTTGTATGCACGGCCAAAGTCTGCTCCCTGTTTCCCCATAGACATGCACACACATGCACACATACGGTGACTTGGTCAAATTAACCACTGGGTTGTGAATTGACGCCTTCACAGATAGCAGAGGCCTATCTCTGGGCAGCTGCCTGGGGCGGCTCAGATGACAGAGAGAAACTAGATAGCTCAGAGGTGCTGGGGGTCAAGCGTGGCTCTGAGAGCCAGGAGACGCAGAGTCTAGAGTGAGTTCTGTCACTGATGGGTCTTGTGACTAGCAGTGACAAGCCACTGTTACTCTTGATCCTCAGTTTCCCGCATCCTTTAGGGATGTGGAGGGAGTCAGTGGCCCCTCCGGGAAAATCTGCTTAAAATGCAAATTCTCAGATCCTGCTTCCAGAGATTCATCTGCAACAGAAGTGGATGGGGCCCAAGCATCTGCATTTTTAACAAGCCCCTCAGCATGCCAAGGCATCCCACTGTGGGAAAACCTGCCTCAGGCTGATGATCCCCACAGGTCCTAGTTAAGGCTGAGAGCCCTGCTGTCCAAGGAGCTAAAACTTTGGGTGAAGCAAATCACGTTCTACCCTCCCCAGCCAAATTGAAGACCTGACTTGAGATTTGCCTGGAGAGGAGAGAGCTGGGACCAAGCAGAGAGGTCCCGGCCAGCTGTCTGCAATGGAATCCCCTTGGGGAGCTTTTAAAAAGGCATATTCCTGGGCTCCCCCAAATTTACTCAGAACCCCTGGGAATGGGACCAACAGTGTATATTTTAACAAACTCCCTGATGGACAGGAAGGTGTGGGAACCACTGAATCAGGCCACCAAGTATGAGCCAGGAGAAGAGACATGGAATTGAAGACAGACAGCTCCTAAGGGGTGAGGGAGGGGTGTGCTGGGAGGTCTCACTCCATGATCAGGAGCCAGGAGAGCAGACTGAGAGGTCGGAGTAAACACACCAAAATGCCAGTCCCAATGGCACAAGGGCAACACCTACAGAGACCTCTTTGGGTTTTATCAACTGGGAGCTTGATGTGGCCATCATCAACAGAATGTAGCTGGAGTCTGCGTTAATGAGAACAGTGCCTTCGTAAGAAGGGAGGCAAGAGACCAATGGTGCTCAGACTGTGGCTAGAGGCTGGACTCCTGATCAGGGCTTTATGTTTTGACAAACATTGACCACCTGTATCATCCTCAGGAGGGTGACCAGGCCAGTGAGGAGATCTGGAAACCACATCACATGAGGAGCAGTGTCTATTGGCCTGGAGAAGACTTTGGGAGAGATGTGGCCACTGTCTTCCAGTTTCTGAAAGGCTTCATCAAGTGGGGGGAAAGAGAAGAGTCTTCTGGAGGGCCAAGGGGGCAGGACCAGGGCTGGCATCTAAGAATTATAGGGAGAGGAAGGAGCTGTTCTGCAGGCATGGGCAGCAGTGTGGCCAAAGAGGGTGTATTAGTTTTTTGTTGCTGCTGTAACAAATTACCACAAACTTAGTAACTTAGAACAACACAAATTTATTATCTTCCAGTTCTAGATGTCGGAAATCCAAAATAGGTCTCGTTGGGCTAAAATCAAGGGATCAGCAGGGCTCGTCTGCCCTCCTCTTCTTCCCACCTTCCACAAAAGATGCATTGGACCATTCCATCTGCAACTTGAATTCCCCTTTGCTGTGTAACCTAACATAGTCACAGGTTCTAGGCACCAGGACGTGGACGTCTTTGGGGGCCATTATTCTGCCTACCATGGTCGGTAAGGAGCTTCCTGTTTTGGGGGGGATCCAACCCAAGACTGGATGGCCACTTCCCAGCATGATACAGAAGGGATTCTGTGTCAGGTAAGGGACCAGACTACATCAGAGATTTTAGAGCTTTCAACAGCTGAGATGCTGTTTTGAAAGAAACACTTCATTGAAAACCAGATAAAGGCATGGGTGATCTCATTGGAGAGGGGTGCGGGTCTGGACTTTCACCAGCTCAACTCCTTTTCCCTGTTGCCTGTCCTATCTTGAAACCGTAAGAGTCCTTGAAACACGTTGCAAAAACCAAGCCCAACTTCTCTCAGGCCCCAACAGTCCTGCAATTCGTAGTGAATAAAGCACATCAGACTCATCAGCCTTCACAGTGAGGAGTCCACTCAGAGAATCTGGTCCCCAGGTAGTGGTCCCAGCTCCCAGAGGCAGGCAGCTTCCTCAGAGAAGCCCTGGGTCGTGTACATAGGATGGTGTGTTTCATGATAGCAAAACAGTGGGGACAACCTCAATGTCCATCCACAAGGGATCTGCTAATAACCTCTGGTGTAGCCACACGCTGCAAATGATGATACAGTTGAAAATAGTTCACTGGATCTCCAAGTCCTGGCAGGGAAGTCTCTACAAGGCTGACCATATAGTGAAATACCATTTGTGGAAAGAGACTGGTACAGAAGATATATTTTTCCAGGGGGTATAGATGTATGTAGCTTTCACACCAAACTGATAACAATGCTACTTCTGGAGGAGGGTGAGGAGACTGGGGAGGGGGACTTTCAAAGGGGACTTTCACATTGACTGAAACTTTTTTTTTTTTTACGAGGATGATGTATTTGTGTATCATTTGTGTAATGGAAAAGTCTCAGTAAAACCTAACTAAAAATGAAATGGATGAAGCAGAAAGGGGGATTCTAGGGAGCTAGACTGTTGTGGGGATGATGGCGTGAGGGCCGGTGCTGCTGCCCTTAACCAGCCCTTAGGCTCCCATCAGAGTGAAGGTTCTGAGGCGGCCCCAGGGGGTGGGGGAAGGTCCTGCCTTGCTACGCTTATCCTGAACGTGTGTCAAGACCCTGAGCTGATGATCCTGCCTCTGCCATCCACCTGCTGTGTGTCTGTGGACAAGTCTTGGCTCCTTTCTGACCCTCTGAGCCTCAGCTTCCCCATTCTCACAGGTGGGAGAGTTAGACCTAATGTCACCTCTGGAATTTCTGACAAAAAAAAAAAACCACACATAACCTGAATCTGGCCACAAGGAAACTGCAGGCACACCCATATTAAGGGATGGTTTTGCAAAATAACTGGCCTGAACTCTAAACATGTCAAGGTCACAAAAGCTAAAGAAAGGCTGAGAAATGGTTCAGGATTAAAGGAGACTAAAGACAGCTGGCAATCAAATGCCATGGGTGACCCTGGAGGCATTCTGGACCAGGAAACAGTTATAAAGCACACTATTGGGATAACTGGTGAAATGTGAATAGGGACTGTGTGATAATAGTATTGTTTCAATGTGATATTTCCTGATTTTGATTATTGTGCCGTTATGTAAGAGTATATCATTGTAAGAAGTATGAGCTGACATATTTAGGGGTAAAAGGAAAGAAATGGGGGAGGAATCCCTATGGGACAGTTCTACTCTGTCCTGTAGGATTTCTATGAGTCGGAATCAGCGGCAACGGGTTTGGTTTGTCTAGTGGGTGAGATTGGTACTTATCAGGTGCAGTAAGTCTATGTCCACCAGGGGGCGCCATCACCCCAGCATCTCACAGGTTTCGGTTAGTGTGACTCGCCTCCCAAAAGACAGGGCTGGTGGTTGATAGTGGTGGGCTAATAATAGATTGGAGTCCCTGAGTAGTGCAAACGGTTAAAGTGCTGGCCTGCTAACTAAAAATGTTTTGAGTCCACTGAGAGGTACCTTGGAAGAAGGGCCTGGCGATTTGCTTCCAAAAAATCAACCATTGAAAAGACTATGGAGTGTAGTTCTCTGACACACATGGGGTTATCATGAGTCAGAAATGACTCTCAATGGCAACTAGTTAATACCATGATTATACTATGATTAATAACAATATCAATATATTAAATAATATAAATAACAAAAGGTATTGCTTACTGTGTCAGGCAGGCCTTCTGCTTATCAAGTGCTAGCTCCTTTAATCCTCATAATGAACAATCTCTAGGGTAGGTATCATCATTCCTATTTTATAGATGAGACATCTGAGGCTCAGTGAGGTTAAGTAATTCTGCCAGCGTCACACAGCTAGGACCCCCTCTGTCCATAAGACTTCACAACCAGGGTCCCACTGGGCAGTTCTGCCTCCTGGTCCGGTGGCTGGGAGTTGCCCTTATTTTGGGAGCTGAGAAGAGCAGTGCTTAACCACTACACCACCAGGGCTCCTTACGGTACAGCTTAGTAGTCAAAATACACACAACTGGACAGATTGTTTCAAGTACAGGCTTATATTGGCTGTGTGACCTTCGACAAGTACCTCATGTCTCTGAGCCTCAGTCTGCTGGTCTGTGGAACGGCACATACTCAGTAAGGGCTGAGCTGGTTCTTGGCATCTGACTTTTGCAGCCCCACACCTGAGCCTGTAGGTGGCACTTCCACCTTGGCCCTGAGGCTGACGAGGATGGAGCTGAGGGGCCATGAAGCCCCCACAGAATCTGGACCCTTGTTGCATTTGATTTTTCTTCCTGGAACCCATGAAATGGAAGTGGTTGGGTGATCTGGGACACTGAGAATGACCTCTCACAATACACATACTAGTGTCAAAGGTGGCTCTGCTGTTTTGTTTGGTTTTAATTGAGATATAAGTCACATGCCATAAAATTCACTTTTTAAAGTGTACAATTCAGTGGTTTTTAGTACACTCACAAAGTTTTGCAACCATCACCACTATCTAATTCCAGAACATTTTCATTACCCAGAAAGAAACCCTGTACCCATTAGCAGTCACTGTGTGTTCTCTCCTCCCCTTAATCCTTGGAAACCACTAAGCTTTTTGTCTGAGTAGTCTGGACATTTTATATAAATGGAGTCGTATAATATGTGGCCTTTTGTGTCTGGCTTCTTTCATTTAGCATAATATTGTCATGGTTCATCCACGTTGTAGCATGTATCAGTAGTTCATTCTTTTTCTTTCAAACACCTTTACTGAGATATAATTCACATACCATACAATTCACCCATTTAAAGTGTACAATTCAGTGACTTTTGGTATATTCACAGGTATGTACAACCATCATCACAGTCAATTTTAGAAATGTTTTTATCACCTCAGAAAGAAGTCTCATACCCTCTTCCTATCACTCCTTTGCCCCCTACCACTCAGCTCTAAGCAAACACTCATCTTTCTGTCTCTGTGATTTCTTTATTCTGGATTTTTATATGAATGGGATCATATACTATATGGCCTTTTATGACTAGCTTCTTTCACTTAGCATGGTTTCAAGGTTCATCCTTGTTGGAGCGTATGTCAGAACTTCATTCCTTTTTATGGTAGAATAATGTTCCATTTTATGGATATACCATTGGTTTGTTGATGGGACAATTAGGTTGTAAAACCTTTCGTCTGTTACGAGTAATGTTGCTATAAATCTGCCTGTACAAGTTTCTGGGTAAACATAGATTTTCATTTCTCTCAGGTTTAATTCCTAGGAGGAGAATTGCTGGATCAAATGGTAACTCTGTGTTTAATTGTTTATCGAATTGCCAAACTATTTTCCAAAGTGGCTGCACCATTCTATATTCCCACCAGCAGTGCATGAGGGTGCGAATTTCTTCCTATCTCACCAGCGCTTCTGTTATCTGACTTTCTGATTCTAGCCATCCTAGTGGGTGTGAGTGGTAACTCATTGTGGCTTCGATTTGCCTTTCCCTGATGACTAATGATGTTGAGTATCTTTCCATGATAAAAACACTCAGCAAACTAGGAATATAAGGAAACGTCCTCAACTTGATAAAGGGCAGCTAAGAAAAACCCACAGCTGAGATTAGACCTAATGGAGAAAGACTGAAAGCTTTCCCCCTAAGATCAAGAACAAGACAAGAATGTCTGCTCTCACCACTTCTATTCAACATTGTACTCGAGGCTCTGGCCAGGGCAATTAGGCAAGAAAAAGAAATAAAAGGCATCCAAAATAGAAAGGGAGAAGTGAGACTCTCTCACAGATGACGTGATCTTAGAAAATCCAAAGGAATCCACTAAAAAACAATTAGAACTAATAAGTTCAGCAAGGTTGCAGGATACAAGATCAATATATAAAAACCAATTGTGTTTCTATACACTTGCAGTGAACAATCCAAAAATGAAATTCAGAAAACAATTCCATTCACCATAGCATCAAAAACAAACAAACAAAAATGCTTAGGAATAAATTTAACAAAAGAAGCACAAAATTTATACTTTGAAAACTAGAAAACATTGTTGAAGGAAATTAAAGAAGATCTAAGTACAACCAG